TATTTCAGATCTGGAGCACCTTTGGCTTTTCAATCATTAAGTCACTTACCCTGCCTGATTTAAAACAAAAGGTGAACAGCAACTTTAACAAGACGATATTTGTTTTTATTATCCATTTGTGGAAGGGTGGCATCACTGACTAGGCCAGCATTTATTTCTCACCTCTAATGACCCTCAAGAAGATAGTTTGTGAAGTGCCTTTTTGAACTACCTCAGACCACGTCGGGTGGTTACGTCCTTCCTATAGCCCTGTGGATGTATCAGGATTTTGACTCAGTAACAGTGAAGGAAGGGCGATATGGCTCCTATTTTGCATAATTTGTGGCTTGAAAGGGAACTTTCATGTGCCAGTGGTCCTAAGCATCAGACGCCTTTGTTTTCTGCGTAGTAGAGGTTGAAGGTTTGCAAAGTGCAGTCTGGGTGAGACTGGATGAGTTGCTGCAATAAATCTTGTAGATCACAGACTGCCACCAATGCACATCGGTGGTTAAAAAGTGTGAATGCTTAATGTAGCAAATTAAGTGGGCTGCTGTGTCCTGGATGGTGTCAAGCTTCTTTACTGTTGTTGGAGCTGCACCCAACCAGATAAGTGGAGAATATTCCATCACGTCAGATTTGTGCCTTGTAGTTGGTTAGGAGGCATTGGAGAGGGCAAGAGGTCAGTTACTCACCAGAGAAATTTTAGTCTCTGACATCTGACTTTATGATGGGGAGGAAGTCATTGATGGAGGAGGTGAAAGTGGGCTGAGGCTAGTCCCCTGAGGAACTAGGAGGGGTCTTCTGCCACAGTAGTAATGTCCCTACCTCTGAACCAGAAAGGAAATGCCCACCTGGTTCAGAAGTATACAAGGGCATTTCTGAGCAGGTTGGTCAGAAAGTAACTACCCTGAGGAACTCCTACAGTCCTAGGACTGAGATCACTGACCTGCAAACAAACATCTTTTGTGTCAAGTGTGGATCCAACTGGCAAAGGCTTCTTCCTGATTCTCATTGACTACAGTATTGCTGGGAGTTGGGGGAGGGGCCTTGATACCATACTTAATCAAACAGACTTGATATCATGGCAGTCACTTTCACTTCCCTCGAGTTCATCTCTTCTCTTTTGATGTTAGTGTTTGAACCAGGGCTGTAATGAGGTCAGGAATTATGTGGCCCTGGTAGAATCCAAAACAGAGTCAGTGACTAGGTTATTGCTGAGCAAGCGCCACTTGATAGTACTGTCAATTACACCTTCTGACGCTTTGTTGACGATCAAGAGGAGACTGATCGAGTGGTAATTGGTTGGGATGGATAAATCTGGGCAATTCTCCACAGTACGGAAAAGAAGCCAGTATTGTAGTTGTACCGGAACAGCTTGGCCAGAAGTGTGGCTCGTTCTGATACACAAGTCTAGGAAACAAAAGAATTTTTAAAAAAAAAATAGGAGTGGGTATTCGACCCTTCAAACTTGCTATGACATCCAATATGATCATGGCTGATCATCCAGCTCAATACCCTGTTCCCACTTTCTCTCCATACTCTTTGGGGCTTAAAGGATCAAGAAATATATCCCCTTTCCTTGAAAGGATTCAATGCTTTGACCTCAATCACCTTCTGTGGCAGGAAATTCCACAGGCTACCCACTCAGTGGAGAAATTTCTCCTCACCCGAGCCCTAAATGGCCAACCCTGTATCCTGAAACTGGGGGCATCCTGCTTGTGTTTACCCTGTCCTGTTAAAATTTTATAGGTTTCTAGGATTCTTATAAAGTCTAGTGAATATAGTCCTATTCGATCCAGTCTCTCTTCACATGTAAGTCCTTCCATTCCCGGAATCAGCCTGATAAATCTTCTGGATATGCAGGGAATGCAATGAACATCCTTCATCAGATGCAGAGACCAAAACTGCACACAAAACTCCAGGTATGTTCCCATCAAAGCCCGGCACAATTGCAAGATATTCCTGCTCCTGTACTTAAATCCTCACGTTATAAAGCCCAACATATGTAGAACATAGAAAATATAAGCAGGAGAATGTCATTCAGCCCTTGGCGCCTGGTCCACCATTCAACATGATCATGGTTAATCATCCACGTTTTCATCCCCTCTTCAGAGGTCAGTCCTGCCATCCCATGAAGCAATATTGCTAGTACCAGCAGGGACTCGAGTTCCATTTTCAGGTATTACCAGGGCCCAACACCTTTGCATTATCCAGTGCCTTCAATTAGTTTTGATATCATGTAGAGTGAATCAAGTTGGATGACAACAGGCATCAGAGACACTGGGTCCTCAGAAGCAAGTACAGAAGGATCTTCCATTCAGCACTTCTTGGCTGAAGACAGATGCAAATGCTTGAACCTTGATTTTGGCACTGATGTGCTGGGCTCCTGCATGGTTGTGGTTGGGGGTATTTGTAGAGCTGCCGTCTCCTGTTAGTTATTCAATTGTACACCATCATTTATGACTGGATGTTGTAGGATTGCAGATTAATCAGTTGGGTGTGGGACTGCGTAGCCCTTTCTATTGCATGCTGCTTCTATTGTTTAGCATGCTAGCAGTCCTGTGTCACAGCTTCGCCTGGCTGATACATCATTTTTAGGTATGTCTGGTGCTGCTGCTGGCATGCTCTCCTGAACTCTTCATTGGGGTACAACCCTGGTTCATCTTGATGGCAATAGCAGAGTGGGGAATATGCTGGGTCATGAGTCTACAGATTGTGGTGGAATACCATAGTTCTGCTACTACTAATTGTCTACAGCGACTTATGAATGCCAGTTTTGCTACATCTGTTTGAAATGTATTCTACTTAGCTCATCATCATTGGTGATTCCTCTCAAGGAGAGTCCACAGGTGGCTGTGCACATCAATATGGCTACTGCAGGCTCCGCTACACTGAGCAGGTGATGGTCACGGGAAGGTGTGGGTGGGGCACTGGTGAGGCATCCTGCTCCTTTTGCTGTTTTCGCCTGGCTTCCTTTATTCCCCTGATGGCTAGTTGCAAGGTCCTCGATGCCATCCTGGATGCCCCTCCTCCACTTTGGATAGCATTGGGTCAGTGATTCTAGGTGTCTGAGAAAATGCTGCATTTCACCTGAGGCCTTGAAGGGTAAAACTGAAGTGCTTCCTCTGTCCATCTGGGGCGTGCCTGCTGTTTCGAAGCAGGGAATACAGCACCTGTTTGAGGAGTCTCATGCTAGTCATGTGGATGACGTACCCAGCCCATCGTAGTTGATCAAGGTGGTCAGTGCCTTGATGCTGGGGATGTTGGCCTGGTCGAGGACACTGGTGTCAGTGTGTCTTTCTTCTGAACGGATGTGCAGGATCTTGCACAGGCAGCGTTGGTGGTACTACTCCAGTGCCTTGAGGTGTCTGCTGTAGATAGTCCACAGCCAGGAACCAGGGTTCAATCCCACCCTTGGGCAACCGTATGGAGTTTGCACATTCTCCGTGTCTGCGTGGGTTTCCTCCGGGTGCTCTGGTTTCCCCCCATAGTCCAAAGATGTGCAAGTTAGGTGGATTGGCCAGGCTAAATTGCCCATATAGTGTTCAGGGATGTGTAGATTAGGGGGATGGGACTGAGTCGGATGTTCTGAGGGTCGGTGAGAACTTGTTGGGCGGAAGGGCCTGCTTCCACACTCTAGGGATTCTATGATCTATGTTCTTAGAGCAATATAGGAGAGCAGGAATCTGTAAGCCATGATCATGGTGTCAAGATCTAATGTTGTTGTTCTTAAACACCCTTTTCCTCAGGCAGCTGAAGGCTGCACTAGCATACTGGAGGCGATGCTGGATCTCTTCATCAATAGCTGCTCTGGCCGACAGGACACTTCCAAGGTACTGGAAGCGGTCAACATTCTCCAAGCCTCCCCATGGACCTTTGATGATTGAGGATTTGCTCCTCCACAATGCCAGGCCAAGTTGAAGAAGGACCTTCGACTTACAGCTGTTCAGAGTGAGACCCATGCTCTCATGCTGCCATAAAAGTGCTGACGATGGTCTGGAGTACATCCTCAGAGATTGCACACACGCAAGCATCATTTGCGTACTGCAGCTTGATTACCCTAGTTGGGGTGACTTTGGTTTTGGCTTGAAGGTGGCGGAGTTGAATAATTTCCCACAGGTTGTCTAAGTTAGCTCCACTCCAGCTGGGAGCTTGTCTGGGGTGAGGTGAAGCATTGCAGAGAGGTAGATCGAGAGCAGTGGGGCGGTGATGCAGCCCAACAATAGCATCAAACAACAAACATACGGTTTGAAGATAGAATTTCTAACCTACATGGACTGTAGCATTTCAAGGTGGCAGCTCACCACCATCTTCTCCAAGGCAGAAGACCTTCTCCAATACTCTATAATCTAGCTTTCTGATGCCTCAAGTGTGCACATCGATAATGAAAGTGAAGCTCAGTTTAGATAAATATTGGAAAGTCTGGAGTATAAAACTTGAAATTGAGCTTCTCCATTCGCAGTTCATTTAAAAAAAAAAATCACTGTCATTGTTACAATGGCAAACAAAATTTACCTCTTTAACTGGTATGGTAGAATTTTCTTTAGGAAGCAAACATAAGTAGTAAAGACATCTGAAAATGGTTTAAGCTTCACAGTAGTTTCCTGAAAAAAAAGGGACAGATTTTCCCTGATATGCACATCAGACGAATGCTGAAATATAATTTAAAAACTGCATTTAAGCAAACTTTAGCAAACTTACTAGTGAAGTAACAGTTTCTTCAGTAATGCTCTCAAATAGGTGCAACATTCCTTCCTCTAGAGGACGAACATAAGAGGCATTTTCATGCAGGTATTCAGAAAACTGAAATAAAGGAAAAGTAATTTCTTTCATATCCTAAATAATATCAAGTTAAGTGTATCACTTTTCTTAGAAGGCTGTGAAACATTGTGACACGGGACAGAAAAAAAAAGCAGTTGTTCAGTTGTTAATTTTAGATCCTTGATTTTTTTTTGTTATATATTAAGGGATGTGGGCCAAAGGCCAAAAATCAGCCATAATCTCACAGAATGGTGGAACAGGCTTAAGGGGCTGAATGGCCTACTCCTGTTCCCACGTAAAAGTAAAACTAATTGCAGTCTTTATAATCACATCAGAAAAATGGAAAGTTCAACACAAAGAAACCATTTGGCCATGTCAAGCGAGGTTCAGGCGAGTTTATGAAAGTTTCCAGAACAAGTAATAGGACAGAGTATGGAAAGGTTTAGGAATCCAACTTCAGGCATAGCAGATAAAAGGTTAACTGTGAGAAAGGGAGGCAGTCAATGCAGGCCTAAATGCACACAGTGTACAAATGAGTTGGTAGTGCAGATTGAAATTGGCAGGCATGATGTTGCGTGCATCACAAAGACGTGGCTGCAAGGACATCGGGGATGGGAACCGAATATCCAAGGATTCCCAGCCAAAAGAAGGGGCAGGTAGATGGGGTGGGGTTGCCTTGTTAGTAAGAAATGAAATTAAATCAATTGCAAGAAGTGACAAGAGTTAGAAGGCATAGAATCTGTTTGGGTAGAGTTGAGGAACTGCAAGGAAAGAAAAGACGTTATGGGAGTCATCTGCAGGTTTCCTAGCAGTAGTCAGGATTTGGGGCAGAAAAAAATCAGGAAATAGAAAAGGCATGTAAGAAAGGCAGTATTACAATAATCATGGGGGATTTCAATAAGCAGGTGAACTGGGAAATTCAGGTTGGCAGTGTCTCCCAAGCAAAGGAATTTGTGAAGAAGGGTCTAGGCCCAAAACGTCAGCTTTCCTGCTCCTCTGATGCTGCTTGGCCTGCTGTGTTCATCAGGCTCTACACCTTGTTATCTCTTTTTTATCAAAGGAATTTGTGGAATGTCTAAGATTTTTTTTGGAGCAGCTTGTGGTAGAATCCACCAGGGGGATCAGGCAATTCTGTATTTGGTGATATCCTTTATTCATTGACGGAATGAGGGCATTGCTGGCTAGGCAACACTTATTGCCCAGAGGGCAGTTAAGAGTCAACCACATTTCTGTGGGTCTGGAGTCACATGTAGGCCAGATCAGGTAAGGATGGCAGTTTCCTTCCCTAAAGGACATTAGTGAAGTGGACGTATGTAATGAGGCAGGCTTGATTAGGGAGCTTAAGATAAAGGAATCCCTAAGGGGCATGACTACCTTATGATAGAATTCACCCTGCAGTTAGTGGAATATCTTTACTCAATCGTAATATCAATAATTGTAATTGTTAACTACTGAGACATGAGGGAAGAACAGACCAGAGCTGATCGGAAGGGGAGTCTAGCAAGGAAGACGGTGCAGCAGCAATGGCAGGTGTTTCTGAGGGTAATTTAGGAGGCACAGCAGAAATTCATCCCAAGGAAGAAACAACGTAGTAAGGAAGAGGCAACCGTGACTGACAAGGGAAGTCAAGGACAGCATAAAAGCAAAAGAAAAAGCAAATAATGTGGTGAAGATTAGTGGGAAGCCATAGGATTTGGAAGCCTTTAAAAACCAGCAGAGGACAACTTAAAAAAAAAAAAAGCAGTGAGGGATGGGGAGAATTGCTGGTGGTGCCTGGGGAAGATAAAATATGAGTGTAAGCTTGCTATTAATACAGAAAGTGATTGCAAGAGAGAGGCAAGAGTGGACATCAGACCAATGGAGAATGAGGCTGTAGTAATCATAATAATAGTGGGGAACAAAGAAAAGTTGACAAACTGAATAGATACCTTGCATCAGTCTTCATGGCGGAAGACATCAGTAGCATACCAGAACTTCCAGAGAGTCAGGAGGCGGAGGCAGAGGTGAGTAAACTGGTTATCACTAAGGACTGAAGGTGTATAAATCACCCTGCCCAAATGGACCACACTCCAGGGATCTGAAGGACATAGAGGAGATTGTGGAGGCATTGGTGGTGATCTTTCAGGAATCATCGGAGTCAGGGAGAGTCCCAGATCACAAGAGAATGGCTAATGTAACACCCCTGTTTAAGAAGGGAGGAAGGCAGAAAATAGGAAAATATTGGCCAGTTAGCCTGACATCAGTCATTGGTAAGTCCTTTATTAAGGATGAGATTGCGGAGGTGGTGGGGTGGGTGGGTAAAATAGAGCTGAGTCAGTGGGGCTTTGTCAATGGGAGCTCATACCTAACAAATCTGTTAGAATTCTTTGAGGAAGTAACATACAAGCTAGCCAAAAGCAAGACAGTGGACATGTTCTATTTGGATTTCCAGAAAGCTTTTGTAAGATGTCACACAGTAGGCTGCTAAATAAGATAAGAGACCAGGTGTTTGGGACAGCATGGCAGAGCACTGGCTGACTGGCAGAAGGCACAGAGTAAAGATAAGGGGCCATTTTCAGGATAGCAGCCAATGACTAGTGGAAGTCTACAACAGACCAGTGTCGGGACCACAACTACTCAAATCTGGGCAAAGGAATGGAGGCATTGTTACCAACTTTGCAGAAAAGACAAAGATAGGTGGAGGGACAGGTAGTGTGAGGAAGCAGAGGCTGAAGGAGGACTTGGACAGGCTAGGAGAGTGGATAAAGAAGTGGCAGATGGAATGCAGTGTGGGAAAGTGTGAGGTTATGCACTTTGGTAGAAATAGTAGGGGTATAGACCATTTTCTAAAGGGAAAGGCTTTGGAAATCTGAAGCACAAAGGGTCTGAGGAGTCTTAGTTCAGGATTCTCTTAAGATTAAGATGCAGAATCAGCTGGCAGATAGGAGGGCAGATGCAATCTTAGCATTCATATTGAGGGCTAGAATACAAAAGCAGGGATATACTGCTGAGGCTATATAAGGCACTGGTCAGACCACATTTGGAATATTGTGAACAATTTCGGGCTCTGTATCCAAAGGAATGACTTGCTGGCGTTGGAGACGGTCCGGAAGAGGTTTACAAGAATAATTCTGGGGTTGAATGGCTTGTCATGAGGAGCAGTTGAGGACTCTGGGTCTGTACTCAATGGAGTTTAGAAGAATAAGGGGACAACTCATTTAAACCTACAATATTCTAAGAGCCCTCATTAGAATGAACGTTGAGAAGATGTTTTCACTGAGAGAGACTAGAACCTGAGGGCACAGCCTGAGAGTGAAGGGATGACCCTTTAGAACTGAGAAGAAGAGGAATTTCTTCAGCCAGAGGGTGGTGAATCTTTGAAACTTATTGCCACTGAAGACTCCTGGGGCCAAGTCATTGAATGTATTTGAGAGAGAAAGAGATAGAAAAGTTCTTCATTAAAAGGGGATCAAGGGATACAAAAGGGAGAAGGCAGGAGAAGGAGGTTGAGAATCTGTCAGCATTGATCAAATGGCAGAGCAAACTCGATGGACCGAATAGCCTAACTCCACTTGTATATCTACAGTCTTATAATATTTTTTGATTATGATGTGTATATTCTAAATGTCCTTCCTCCACTAGAAAATATATTAAAACATTCAAAAGCATTTTCTTGCAGATGTAAAACAATACTGGAAAATATGTGTCATCTCAAAATGTGCAAGGTTCCCAGGTCTGTCAGAAACTCAAACCTGATTGAATGGAGGGAGCTTTTAACAATTAGACTTAGAACCTTTTAAGGTCACAATCTCTGTGCACTACATAGAATGGTCAGACTTTTGCCCTGAAAAAGGTTCATTATTTGATACAGCAAACATTGCAATGGGAAATGTGCTATGGTTCTTAAGAGTACTTTCAACAAAGGCCCTGCTGCAACAATAGTATTTAAATTCACAAACCAGGATATTCAGCCACTGTGTCAGAGAACCAATAAAACAAAAGATTGATCAATGCTGGGGGAAAAAAGAACTTGAAAAGTTCATCAGCAGCATTTCCGTATCAGATGGCTTTCACTGTGCTGCCTGAATTTGTGGCTATTTGATTCACCATCTGGAGACCATTGGAGAGGAAAAAAGTGAATAACTCGTGTTAATGTTGGTGCTTGCACACACAAGACATTAAAGAATAGCCTAGAAGCAACTAGTGTTTCCAAGGTTGCCCAGTCTGTTGTGCAAGACTTTGGAACTGAAACTTGAACTTATGGCAACATAATTTTCCAGTCTATGACTGTTACAACAATGATAATCGTGTGAAGGTTGAAAGCTGTTGATAGACATAAAACACCAAAAATTAGACAGAGATTGCAAAGCAATGCTATAAAAGTAATGCAATGAGAAAATTTCTAGTTTGCTTAGGACAAAGAAAGCATTTTCTTCATCAGTTAGTACAATGAGAAGAACAAAAGCCCATGCTCAATTGTACTGTGCCAATAACACCCACATATAAATTGTTTTTAAGAATAAAGTGATTATAATCAGAACCACGAACTGACTTTGTTATTACAAGTGGACACCATGGGTTTTTAAAACAAGATCCCTAACCTTTTGGCAATAAAAACTGTTTCTGAAATGGTGCATACAAAATATCAACTCTTGCAAAAATGCTTATTCACTGATTGTGCATTATAGTAGAGTTCTGATTGTCTTTCAGTTAACAGTGTCAGCTCTTTTACTGTCACAGAATGTTTAACGTCTGCCTTTATATTAAAAAGAACATTTTTCTCTAGATATTCCACACCTCTCTCATTAATCCTGTTAATATTAAAAACTGCATTGACAATCTCTCCTGATGCTGCAATTTGGTATAATTCTCTCTGCAGCAAGATATTTAATTATAGCTTAGTTAATAATAATATACAACACGTGCAAAACACTTGTAGAACTTAAATGATTGTCCAGCGGTTGAAGTCTTCACTTGCAGTATAAAGGCGATACATTAGCGTTGCCATATTTCCCATTAGTAGTAACAAATTTTCCAATACATAGTGAAACATACCTTTTGGTTCAGTGGAGATATAGTGTCTGTCGCAGAGTCAATGGGATAGATCTGAATTCTTTGCTCCGTGTAAGTATGAAGATTTAGCAATGCTCCAACCAAATCTTGAAGGAAAGCCAGTGCCTGTCCACTAACATCACGAGCTTTCAGCTGAAAGTCAACACAGTTCAGTGCGGAATATAGCATGGCCATTCGTTTTACATAGCACTATGTAAGCACAATGAACTAACGGTGCAAATACACATTGAAGAGTATGATCTTTGGGGACGGCTATCACAGAGACATGGTTAGGGGGAAATTAAAGCTGGGAACTAAATATTAACGGATATGTGATTGCTTTAGGTGGGCAGGAAGGAAAGGCTAGTACTTTATTAGTACAAGATGGTATAAATAGAACAAATGTCCTTAATTGGAAGAGGTAGCTTCCATATGGGTGGAGGTTGAGAAGAAATAACAAGGGTGGGGGGGGGGGGGGGGTCATCTAAAACGCCCCAAAACAGTAGCTTTACTGTCAGACAGACAATAAATCAGGAGAAAATGATGGCAGGGAAAAAAAAAGGCTGCACTTAATCATGGATGCCTTTAATCTGCATGTAAGGAAAATCAAATTAGCAGAGGCAGCCATGAAGAACAAATCAGTGTACATGAGACAGGTTCTTACAACATTGTGGATCCAACCAGGAATCAGGCTATTTTGGATCTAGTAATGTGTAATAAAGTAGATTTAATAAATGATCTCAAGAGTCAATGATCTCTAAGTAAACAGTGACAACAACATGGTAGAATTTTGTATTCAATTTGACAGGGATAAACTTGAGTTTGAAACAACTATGCTAAATTTAAATAAGGATACTTACAAATAAATGAGGGAAGAGTTGGCTGGAGTGGACTGGGAAAAGAGGTTAGCAGGAAAGACTGTCGATGAACAGTATCAGATGTTTACAGAAATAGTTCATGACTCAACACAAAAATATATCCCAGTGAACAAGGAGGATTATAGGAAGGGGACAGATCAAGATAACCAAGAAAGTTATGAATAACATCAAATTGAAAGGAGAAGCAGACACAATTGTAGCAACATTTTAGCCAGGGGATCGAGATGTAGGAGCGGAAGTGGGCCATTTGGCCCATCCAGTCTGCTCCACCATTCATTGAAAGTACGGCTGATTTGATAATCCTCAAATCCACCTTACCGCTTTATCCTTATAACCCTCAATTCCCTTACTAATTAGAAATGTATCTCAGCCTCAAATATACTCAATGACCCAGCATTGACTGTAGTAAAGAATTCCATTAATTGGTTACTCTCGGAAAAGAAATTCTCCTTCGTCTCTTCTCTTAAATGGGCAACCCTCACTGAGGTTATACCCTCTAGTCCAAGACTCTTAACAAAGGGAAACAACCTCTCTGCATCTAACCTATCAAGCCACCTAAAGCCTTGCATGTTTCCATAAGATCTCATTTCCTCTGACAAAAAAAGGAACAAAATAAACTGTGTAAAATAACACGTAATGTAAAAACGGACATCAAGATATATCAATACATACATTTAGGGAAAGAATCTGGGGAAACAAGAATAGGAAACCAGGAAATAGCAAAGGAGTTGAATAAATACTTTGCATCAGTCTTCACTGTAGATAGATATTCATTATGCAGTTTACATCCAGAAAAACAAACCTTTTAAGAGATAAATTGGATTGAGATGTGAAGAATTGTTGGAAAAACAATCTGAATAATATTCCAACAGAAAACAGCCCTGAACTGCTCCTGGATTTTAGGAGATCCTGCAACAGTGAATACCAGGAATGTAGAAATATTTTCAAAATAGTCAAAATTGTACAGACATTTTTGTTTCTCAAGGCAGAAGAGCAAGTTCACTTTTTAGAATTAGAATGTAAAACATCACAACATTAATGTACTATTGGAAAATTGTGAAAGAAGAGAGCAGTGGAGCAGACAACAATTATGAAAGATTACTAAAGTCAGGACCGGTGCAAGAGAGAACTCAACGCAGAGGGAAATGAGATTTTTTTGATGATTTTATACTCAATTAGCTGGAGAGTGTTTATGCCTCTAAGCTAGGAAACCAACTTCATTATTTCACTGCAGTAAGTTTGTAACTTAAGTTAATAATTAATTAAATAAGATGAGCCAAATAACCAACAGAACTGAAACAAACTGATTAAATAGAAAAATTTTAACCAGGTCGTTCAGTTTTACGATACATAAAAATGTTATGTCTCAACTGTGGCACGTGGGAATTTGTGGTGTGCACTGCAATCCCAGGCAACATTATTTGGAAATTTTTGCAACTTGTGGAACTCTAATCTTCTGACAGTTAATTGGGATTGAGAGGAAAGAGTTACCTGGACACGCTGTTCCATAAGACAGCTACACAAGTAGAACTTCAGGTTGGTCAAATATTGGTCAGATGGTATGAGCCTGGAGACCACTGTCAAGTGATCACATTCAACCTGGATTATTGCAATGAAAGGGTCTCAGTCCTTGATTTTGAACAAGGATATTAGGTACCCACCACTGGTGCAGATGAGAACCAGTACTGCAGGGTGGATGAGTAATTACTCATAGCACCATGGTCCAGGAGGTCATTCAAGTGGGAAGAGTGTAAAGGAAAGCAAAAAAGGTATTCATGATTGTTTTCTGCAGTTACATTATTGATACAGCTCTAGTTCTCAGTCAAGTGCTGCTGCACAAGACTTTTTGGAATGCCTATTGAAACTGGTGGTTCACACTAACAATTGTGACAAGAGTCACCAAAATGATTACAACCGCATTCTGCTCAGCAGATTGAAAGAAACTTCCTCACTGTAAGGATTCTTGAGAAATATGGAATATCTTAATCCAAATTAATAACCCAGATTATAAAGGTCCCAATAGTGGTAAACACAGATGTTTGAGGGCTGGGACAGCTAGAGTCATAGAGTCACAGTCATACTGCACAGAAACAGACCCTTTGGTCCAACCTATCCGTGCTGACCAGACATCCCAATCTGACCTAGTACCATTTGCCAGCATTTGGCCTATATCCCTCAAAACCATTTGTATTCATATACCCATCCAGATGCCTTTTAAATATTCTAATCATACCAGCCTCCACCACTTCCTGTGGCAGGTCATTCCATACACAGACCACCCTATGTATGAAAAAGGTGTCCCTCAGGATCTTTTTAAAATCTTTCCCCTCTTACCTTAAACCTATGCATTCTAGTTGTAGACTCCCCTACACTATGGAAAAAAAGACCTTGGCTATTCACCCTATCCACACCTCTCCTGATTTTATAAACCTCTTATAAGGTCACCCCTCAGCCTCTGACATTTCGGGGGATAAAAGCCCAGCCTATTTAGCCTCTCCAAATAGCTCAAACCTTCCAACCCTGGCAACAACCTTGTAAATCTTTTCTGCACTCTCTCAAGTTTAACAGCATCCTTCTTATAGAAGAGCAACCAGAATTGTACGCAGTATTCCAAAAATGTTCCGTACAGCCGCAACATGACATCCCAACTCTTGTACTCATTGTTATAATCAATGAAGGCAAGTGTGCCAAATGCCTTCTTCACCACTGTGTCTACCTGTGACTCCACTTTCAAGGAAGTATGCATCTGCACTCCTACATCTCTTATATAGTATAAGCCGTTGCCAAAAAAAAAGGACATTTAGTAATGGATTAAAAAATTGTTCTTTCTCATTCAGCTGAGAGTAGACCAAGTGGTCTTCAGCTTGTGATGTCAAATGGATCATCACTTCACACAAATTGCTTCTCATCACCAGGCTTCCTCTACACACCTCACTGCATTATCTGTGCTGCAGCTAGGTCGGCAAATTATTGCTCCACCTTACAGAAAGGGCAAAGCGAACATGTAAACCCAGTCAGCAACAAATGCTTCTGCCTTGCAGCTGACTACAAAATCCAAGTCATCAAAACTGTAGATAAGCCAAGTTATGACAGGACATGAACGGATCAGAATTTTAGTAACACCAAGGCCAGGTTGATTCCCCTCTATATAAAAAAAAAAATCATTACTTTCATTTGTCATCAAATTTTTTTTTTTACATGCCACTTATGCAATTGGTACAGTTATTTCTCGAATTACATACACACCACTGTAATGCTAGGCCTCATTTTCAGATGCCCCTATATTGTTTATCTAGCTCCAATGAAGTATATTTTTTGTTGCCTAAACTATGGAGGAAACATATGTTCAAAGCCATATTGGCTGGAGTTTTCAGATCTGATTCAAGTCCAACACATTGCTATGTCAGCTGTAAACTATCAGCACATTTCCCACAAAAGAATAAAAAGGAACTGGTTGGCCGTAACAGACGCTCGAAAAATGCTAGTTCTTGTCATTGAGCATAAAACCAGTTCCAGAATTTCATTTTTGTCATTCAAACGCAGGAAACAGGAGCACTTCTTTGTTTTTCTCAATAATAGGGAGGACATTTTAATGAACAAAAATGATTGGTGATTAAGAATACTATCAACAAAGCACAGGTCCAGCCTAGATTGTCAAAGTAATAATCATTCAATTATGAGAGGTAAGTTAATCACAAAATCTTGTATTGAACATCAACCAACTGGAGATGAGAAATACCAAGTAGAAACCTTTTCATTAACATGAAAAAGTAAACTAAGGGTCAGTTAGCAAAATTAGACTATTTCACCATTTTTCAAACTCAAAATTATTCAGTCTGCTCTAATAATTGCATTTTTTCAAAAGAATACTATGCACTGCTTTTAAAGGTTTTAAAACACTTGGATTTATATTTGTTTAAAAAAAACAACAACATTTTAAAGAGATGTTGTAAAGCACTTAGTAAACTGTAGATTTAAAATTTATTTTAGGTGCAACAATTAATTTTTTTGACCATTTCTGGGTTACTCACCTGATGCCTTCTATCGTGTACAGGTACATCCAATACACTGTATTCTGCAAATCCTACATAGAAATGAGACACTGGATGAGGAGACTTTAAGCATCCAAAAAAACACAATGAAAACAGTTGAAGGGCACTCTAAATTTCCATCTGCAACCCTGACAATCCAAATGATTAACTTGAAAATTTATCACTGCTGTGAAGAATACAAATAAGAACAGGTCTGTCCACTGCATTAGACAGCAGATACGAAAGCTATAGTGCAGAAAAATGGCTATCCTGATCAGATCATTATTCACCATATACTTCACAAACTCACAATTATGCCAAAAGCTGCTTTCAGACCTGATAAGTACCTGGTCTACTCAAAGTATCCTCAAAACACAAATATTTCAGAACATCTAAAGGTAAGTTAAGCAAGCCATTTCCTGCTGATGTTATGCAGTGGCGACTGGTATTTTCCACTAACAAGATGCTATCATCAGTCCAAAAAGATGATTAACATGCAAATAAGCAATATGTATATACACCTGAGTGCCAGTGTGATGCCAGGTACTTAGGCCTCACATGACTGGCTGATCAAATACAACATTTTCCATTGGTTGGTTAGAATGGGCAATTTACAGACCATACTCAACTAGCTTGTGCTTGTAAAACCCAAAATGACACATCTACTGTTAGATATAATTCTGTGCTTGAGCAGCACTCCTGAACATGCTAATAGCTACACTAACAATCAAATTAAAATAATCACTTCGGCTCACATAATTTGATAAGCAGGGACTTGTTTTTGAATTACCTGAAAGCACGGGGAGCCTATAGTTCCTGGTTGCTTTCTTCATGGCAATGCTTCAGCCAGAATCCATTCGACAACCAACCCCTCACCATTAAATGTTTTTATCACTCAACTCAATCAATAAACATAAGCAACTAGACTCCAAACAAAAAGGTTCTGTTCCAAAAATAGATTTTCCCAAGCCCAAAACATTTAGGTAGGGATTTCATCACGATCACTGAACTGATGTTCAACTCAGTACTATTCCAAAATCAAATAACAACCTTGCAAGGCTGATAATCACGCAATAACCAAACAGTACACCCAGCATGCTAAGAGAACTTATCAGTAATTTACATTTTTAGAATTGTATGCAGAGAACTGTTTTTACAAGATACAAAACAAAGCAGAATGCTTACTCATCTGTCCCCATTCAACATTGGAATAATTATCAAATCCAGATGTTTTTATAAGTCAAATCTAGTATTTGACCTCAGAAATCTATAAATGGCTAAGGCAGACTGATCACAATTGTCCCAAGGTTTTATTCCCTTGGCTGTACTACATTATTTCATTTCAACACAGGAAAAGGCATGATTAGTTTCAGTGCCCTTTAGTACTGAAGATAAAATGTCCATGTTTGTGAGCTTGGTCACTATTTAGTAGTCCCTATTTAAAAAATACATGCCAATATCAGCTAAGAATAAGGGCAGCACTTTAACCCCTGCTGGTAAAGTGGAAATGTATGGACATCAGCTAAGTGCATGATTGGGCTTAACTAAGAATGTAAGGCAAATGAACAGTTTACATCTTATGTGGCCACAGAGACAGAGACAAACTGGATCAGGAAAAGAAAGTGATGTTTAATATTTTATATAAGGCAAAAAAATTGATTTAATTATTCTGTAGCTTTCAAAGAGCCTCTCTTTTAACCAGCTGTGGAAGGGAAAGCAATTAACATTTTATAATTCCAGACAAAAAGACAAATTTTCAATAATTTTTCAGTTAATTCAATGTGAAAACCCCCTTTTTCTCTAAAATACCAGAGCTCTTGATCATATTCACTTGGATTCCTAATTTACATTGTGATTTACCTATAATGGTCACTGAATAAACATGTCGCCTGGTTCAAAGTTAAGAGGTAGGTTTTGGAATGAGCATTCATAGTAATCATGAATGTGTTATACTTGACGAATCACACCACGGGTTGCTAGCATGGGACAAGTCTTAATGCTTGAACTGGGTTTGGAGATCAGTCTTTGGAGCAATGTTTGCAGAAATATCAGTTTGAGGTGGCAGTAATGGAACAGACAGGTGTAAAAATAATTTTACTTTTTGAAATTGCAGGTCTCCATTTCTAGTACATGACAGTTTAAATATTTTCATTTTATTCATCTGCCTTTAATAACCTACCAATAACTGTTTAAAAATAGTGGAACTCTATAGAGGTGGTGAGATTGAAAAAAAGATTTTCCCATAAGAAAGTTAATGGCCACGAGAGCTTTATAATTAATTTAACACAATGGGAGTAAAATTCACAACCACATTCTTGTTGAAACTAACTCATGTCTTGGGATCCATTAAAATTGCCGAATTGCACAGGAAGTAGTCATACTCACTTGTATCATTAAATGGCACTTTGTCTTGAATAATACTTATTGACTGGTCTAATCGGCTACTCAGATCAGTATGGATATTCTTTAGCTGTTGCTGGCTGCATTGAGAAATATGAAATATTAAGTGTTTCACAATGTTCAATGCAAATTTGTCAGCAACAAGTAATACAGCACAAGTCATAACTGTCTTACCATTCTTCTGTCCGAAGCCTACAGTCCTTTGCTTCTCTCTCCAATGAGTGTGATTTCACCTGTGAGAAATATTGTACCTTTTTGAAAATGTTCATGAATCTTTTCCAAAGCCAAACTTAAAAAAAATCCACCTGCACAAACAGCTGATCATCACTTCAAAAAGTGAGCTTTAACCCCTGCCCTTGCAAACTACAGTTGTATCTCCAAACATGCTTTCCTCTCCAAAATCCCTAATCATGTTGATTACTTCCCAAAAATATCCTATCTTTCAAGAAACTCCACATTTGAATTTTACAATCAGGACTCTGCTCACCATGATCACGAAACTGCTCCGAAGTCACAAACGACATCTCGTTATTGTCAAATTCCTTTCTCAGTTATCTCTACAAGCTTCAATAACACCTCACAAACCTCTTTAAAAGTTATCCCTTTACTGCAGCTCAGTGGGTCTGCCTTTTACTGGCTTCACTGTTACCTGTCCTATCAGTCATGACAGGTTTCTAATAATTTTTTTTTTCCCCTCCTCCTAAACTCCAAAGTTTACAGCCTCATCCTCCTTTTCATCTACGTGTTGTTCATGGCATCATGTGAAAATATGAAGTCAAGCGTGATACAGTTCTCCCTTCCCAGCCAATTATCCCAACCCTTCCAAAACTTAATTGTCATATTGATTGGCCAACATAATTCTTCAGAGGAGCTGGAATTTTCTTCAGGTAAAATATTTTAATGGTCATGCTAAAGGCATCTTAAGATGTGGCATACAATAACACCCTTATCATTAACTTCATCTCTCTGCATCTCTCACCAGTACCTCAAGTTGTTTGTTTAGATTCAATTAAATTGCTCAAGTTTATCTCCATCATAAAGGCTATTTACTTTCACTTCTGCAACATTTCTGTTACTGCCTCAGCTCTTCATTTGGAGCTTTGATCCATGTTTTAGCCACACCTGAAAAGGACCATTTGTATAAATACTATGCAATATTCCACTGCTGTCCCGTCTGTGATCCCTCTGTGATTTTGTATGCTCCACAATCCCACCCTCTTGTGCATCCAGTAATTCCAAGTAAAATACTACAGATGCTGGAAATGGGGGATGCGGTGGTGGTAAAGGGGGGGGGGGGGGGGGGGGTGGGCAAGGGGGGGAGGGGGGTGGGGGGGGCGAGGGTGGGAGTGGCGGTTAGCACTGATCAAAATCAGTGATTAAAATCACTGCTGAACGTTCTGTCTCTCCACCGTTAGTACTGATGCTTAAAATTCACCTCTGACCAACTTTTGCATTACTGCATACCATATTTGATTTTTTAATCAAATCCTTCAGCTGCGAAGGACCTTGAATATTTGCCTACATTAAAAAGGTGTGAAATACAGATTTTCGTTGATGACCTATATTTGAAATTCAACACATTTTCAGAATCTCTGAAACTGAAGTCAGGTCATTGCATTGAGAACTGGATATAGCTTTTTTTTTAAAACCAATCCGTTGGTTAAAAATCATAAGATTTTCTTCTTATATTTAGGCTAAACAAAGTTTACCTATATTTAAGCACCGTTTGTAGGTCAGAAAATTAGGCACAATGAGAAAATTCCAATGTCTGGAGGGCAAAGACAGGCACCCATAATGATACAACGTAAAAAGTTCTGGGTTCAGAGGACAGGTCCAAATGTTAGTCGTTTTTATTGGAGAAATGAACACAGAGTATATAACTGAAGTTTATGAAACAAAGAAACGATATGTCTCAGTCACATCTTATCAGATATGAGTAAGGTTGATAGGACATGTAATGCATATAAAATATTCACTAACAAATAGGGACACTGAATGCCAGAAATAAATTTTAAGAGTCACTTCCCCACCACTCCACCCTTGGAAACAACTACCATAGCTCACAGCTGCAGTGTATTCATGTACTTCTTCAAAAGGTTGCCGAGTGAAAAGTAAAAATCTAATTATATGCAAGATGGCTTGATTGCAAGGAGTTACAGGTTACTGCTGTATCCTGGAACCTTGCTCTATTCCAATAAGGAATAAACCCTTTCCTGTCTTGAGATTTTCACCTCTCCAAGGAGATCACCTGACTAACAGGAAGACCATTATGCCCTATTTCCTGAATGGGATGGGGCTACTGGGCCTGACATTCTTTACTAACTTTTAAAAAAAAACTGATTTATAATCATGAAAGTATTTTAAAAGGAAGTAATATATCAACTTTCAATTATTGAGCGTTGACATAATGACAAGATTTGTGGACTGTGAAACTTAAAACCACAATTAACGGATGCGCTCTGAAGCAAAGTTTGCAGAAAATTGGATGGGAAGGTGAGGATGACAGTTTGTAGATGGACATAGGTAAAAGCAAGCACGCAGAAAATAGGGAATATAATGTGGGAAAACATGAGGTAATGCACTTTGGCAGGAAGAATGAAGGAGCTGAATTGATTTAAATGGAAAAAGACTGCAGACAGCTATAGCACAGAGGGATTTGCGAGTCCTTGTCAATGAATCACAAAAGGCTAGCATCTAAGTTCAATGGGGAATAGGTAAGGCAAACAGAATGTCAGCCTTTATTTCAAAGGGAATGGAATACAAAAGTAGGGAGATTTTGCTAAAATTATACAAGGCACTAGTCAGATAGTTGCTTGAATAATGTGAACAATTCTGGGCCCCTTATCCAAGCGAAGATAAATTGACACTGGAAGCAGTCCTCAAAGTTCAAAGTTCACTCGGGTAATAACAAGTATGGTGTACTGTCTTATGTGGAGACATTGAGTAGGTTCAGCCTGTACACATTGGAGTTTAGAAGAATGAGAGGTGACCTTATTGAAATGACAAGAATCTTAGGGGACTTGACAGGGTAGGCATCTAAAAGGCTGTTTCCCCTCGTGGGAGAGTCTACGGCCAGAGGGCATAATCTCAGAACAAGGAACTGCACATTCAAGACAGACAAGAAGAAATTTCGTCCCCAAGTGTAGTGAATCTGGGAACCCTTTTAAACCACAGATGCCGGTTGAGGCTGGATTATTATGTATCTTCAAGACTAAGGCAAATAGATGTTTAATCAGCAAGCAAGTCAAGGGTTATGGAGAAAAGGCAGGAAAGTGGAATTGAGGATTATTGGATCAGCCATGATCTCATTAAATAATCAAAGCAGAGCCGATAGAATGAACGGCCTACTTCCAATCCTACGCTTTATGGTCTTACTAGCTTCACAATGGACATTAAAATATGAATGCTTTAATTTACAGGCATTTATTTGACTTTTATAAGTGGTTTAGTATTTTGCCCAGTTAGGAACTGATTTAACACTTAATCAACAAAAGCTGTATTGGCCTACATTGGTGAACGTTCTAAAAATAGATGTTTAATACGGTAGAAAGTAAAAATCTTTCATTCTTCAGCCCTACATCATTCTGTAAATTATAGGTGTGCTCCTTCTGCAGTTACTTGGAAACAAGAGCTCAATGCTTTGAGAACAAACAAAAACAGAAATTGCTGGGAAAACTCCAGTCTGGCAGCATCTGTGGAGAAAAGGAAGAGTTAATGCTTTTATTCAGTGACCCTTCTTCAGAACTGATTATAGCTACGAGAAGAATCGTATATGTGCTGCAGATGGGGTAGGGGTAAAGAGGGGTGGGCAGGGAATGGGGAGAGCGAGCTGGGGGGTGCCAGGGCCAGCGGGGGGGGAGCGAGGGAGAGAGGGGGCAGAGATTTTGATGTCATTTCAGGTACCAATTTGCAACAGTGTAAAAAAAAGTTTTGCTCGAATGCTTTCTTCAAGTGTGGAAAAAGCAAATAAGGCTGCCTTACAGTTCTGTACACCAATTCATTCCCAGCTAGCACATGAAAATAAAGAGAAGGGAGTGCATAGAATAAGAAGGATACTTGAAGGTGAAAGTTCACCCCTCAAAGTGACAAGATGTCTAACCTCTAAATTTGCTTTGTCATTTTGAAGTTTTTCTATGGTGTCCATGTACTTCTTCTTCAAGGTGTCAATCACAGCTTCATGTTGCATAGCATCTTTCTCTAGTACCAGTAATCGTTCCCTGAAGTCAGTTTCTGTTTGCTTGTGTTTCGCTTGTGCTTCTTGTATCTGTACAAAAAAAATACAAAATAAAGTCTCAAACATAGATACTGAGATTGCATGGGTTGGCTTAACACCATTACCTGCAAGTTCCCCTCCAAACCATTCAACATCCTCACTTGGAAATATATTGCTGTTACTCATTGTCGCTTGGTCAAAATCCTTGAATTCCCCACCCCGCTGATGGACATTGAGAGTTTCCTTACAGCAAATGGACTGCATTGGCTTTAGAAGGCAGCTCACTAGGGGCAGGCAATAAATTCTGGCCCCGGACAGTAAAGTCCACATCCAATGAATGAGTAAAAGAAACTCAACATGTTCTCAATTATTGATATAGAAACAGACGAGCTGCACACCTTTTTTGGTCCCAATTCTTTCAAATTGTTTGAAACAATCTTGTCCTGTTACAGTGAGTTATGTATTAAACATAACTCCAAAATAAAGTGCTCCAATTATTTTTTAAGCTCCTGAAGTTTGCGTGAAGGTTCCATTCAACTGTGACCTTTGATGCCCAATGCTTTAAACCTGAAAAAACTCAATGACAAGAATCTGTACAAGTGCTACTCACCAAGGTAAAGATGTTCAAAAAGCTATCAAACAAAAAAAAAATCAATATTGTATGCCTTAGACGAGTAACTGCTATAATAATTCACAGATGAAAGTCAGATTGTATGTTTCAACTTCTTAATGTATCAATATAGCCACCCTGCAATTTCTGTAACCATTACACAAAGACCAAAATGAAAGTAAGCAAGGAAGTTCTTTAGGATAACGTCCACGTGAACAGTTGATCCAACTACATAACAATAATTCATCTAGCTCATTTGATACAGACCTTGGTGTCCCTTCCTCCTCCTCAGCAGAAAACAACTGCCTTGAAACAGGACACCATTGGCATCTCTGGTATCTCTCCTGGCAAAACTTATGTACCTAAACATACTAGACGTATTGGCAAAAGACAACCTAGACCCACGCTCTCCCAAAAAAAAAAGTAATTACAGTGCACACAAACTTTGCAACCACCAACCTGATTTGAAACATTTTAGGAAAAGCCCTTGCAAACTGGTCAGGTTTGCCAAGTAAGTTATGTTGCAGGGGGTGGCACAGTGGTTAGCACTGCTGCCTCACAGCGCCAGGGACCCGGGTTGAATTCCACCCTCGGGTGACTGTCTGCGTGGAGTTTGCACATTCTTTCCGTGTCTGCGTGGGTTTCCTCCGGGTGCTCTGGTTTCCTCCCACAGTCCAAAGATGTGCAGGCTAGATGGACTGACCATGATAAATTGCCCATAGTGTTCAGGGATGTGCAGATTAGGTGGATTATAGGGGAATGGGTGAGTGCTCCGAGGGTCGGTGTGGACTTGTTGGGCCAAAGGGCCTGTTTCCACACTGTAGGGGTTCGATAATAAAACCACAGTGGAGTCACTTACCACTGGTTGCTATGCGGTTCTGATACACAGATGCTCAAGAAATAAAACAATTAACTGCTTTCACAAACTAAAGGGCAAATAACATATAAAATGGACAAAAAAGCCTACTAACACCAACGGAAAGATTCATCAATAAAAATAACTTTCAAGCCAAGCTTTGAGCAAGAGTAGGATAGGAAGAGAAACATCTGAAACTGACTAAAAATAAGAATGTTTCAACTAATTCCTTCTCATCGATTTGCCCCCAAGAAAGTGAACTTACAATTATGTAGTTATTTTCACAACATTAGAATGGTTCAAATGAGTCAATTAATTACTTTTGAGGTGTAATCATTATCTTACACTGAATCATGGTAGCTAAATTGTAATTTCCCACAAAATTCTCTCTTGCAGAACATAGTCATTGCCTCGCACAAATGTCACTTGCCATTTCTCAGCCCAGGCCTGGATATTGCCCAGCTTTTGCTACTTATGGGCATTGATGATTTCAATATCTGAGAAATCAAAAACTGTGCTGAACGTTGTGCAGTGAACATCTCTGCTTACGACTTTAGAGTGGATGGAAGGTTATTGATGAGGCTGAAGAGGATCGTGCCTTGGACGCTACATTGAGGAACTCCTGTAGTGATGTCCTGGAGCCGAGATGACTGACCAACAACTGCAACCATCTTTCTTTGTGCTACCAATGCTTGAATTATTGGATCATTTTCCCAATTCCCACAATGTCAGTCATCCTGGAGATCCTCGATGCCACATGCTACATTGATGTCAAGGACAGTCACTACCCCTTATGCAGGAGTTTAATTCTTTTGTCCATATTGGATGAAAGTTCTATTGAGTTCAGGAACTGAGCAGCCCTGGCAGAACCTAATTGGAGTCACAGCAGGTTTTTGCTAAGCAAGTAGCACTTGATAGCACTGTCGGTGGCCTCTTCCATGACTTTGCCGATGATTGGGATTGGAAATTAGCCAGGTTGGACTTGTCCTGCTTGTAGTTACAGGACATATTTGCACAATTTTCCACAACCTCAGATAGGTTTCAGTGTTATAGCTGTAATGGCTAGCTAAATGCTTGGCTAGGTCTGGAAAATGAGTCTTCAATGTTGTCAAAGTCCATAGCTGAAGAGAAAACAGATCTTTTTCACTAACTTTTAGAATGCAACATACGAAAGACATCTTGTAGAACATGCTCCAACGTTTCACATACAACGAAACGTTTACGAAGACTATCTAGAAAAATCCGGTTTTAATCTTTTTGCTGATAACTGCCTGTACTTTACGATCATTGAAAGTAGAGGCACCACAGAATGAGAGAAACCTGGTTTAAATCCTAATATCACCATACATGCATATTTATTACATAACACATTGCTCATTACTGAATTTCAGACAGATGATATTCTGTGCCAGATGACCAAATGTGTTCCTAAATCAAACAGTTAAAAAAAGCTCTAGAGCTAGTTAAAGCACAGAAGGTCTCTTTAAGCAGACTCCACCCACCTTAAAAGGTGAGAGCCTGTCTAATTGGAGAATACTAGTGCATCAAGGAATTTTACTTCAAGAAAAGAAAAACCAGTTTTATTGCTTCGAAGTGGATGCCCTTGAAATTAGGCAGCCAAAAAAGAGAGAGCCAGATGATCTAAAAACAATACTGAAGAAACAAAAATGTATGCACAGGGAATGGTTGTTAAATGCTATTCCAGACAGTATTTGAAATGGATCCAAACATAAATCTCAGTACTCTTGGGCAAATTCCAGATTTCTCAAATATTTTTTCACAAACACGTAAGCAGCTTCAAGTAGAAGAAATCTCAATATGAACAATAGTATGAAGATTCTGAGAGACTGTCATAAAGAGTTCCCACAGTTTCTGGAACATCCGTTCCTTGATATTAAAACTGTGAATTCAGAGATTAAGCAATAACACTGTATTAATCCGCACAAAAATAAGCATGGAGCTTTTCAAGACTGGACTATATTTATTTTGGTTTCTCCAAATTAATACACAATTTAGTAGGGTTGACAAAATAATTAAACTGAAGGGAAGCTTGCTGCGTTCAGGAAATATCTCTACTGTCTAGTTTCTAACATCAAGAGACTTTCCAGATGGCAAACTTCCTTAAAATGAAATTTCATACTAAAGGATATAATTTGGTGACTCATTTAAGTTACTTAGAAGGAAACCATTCACAGTGCAAAATAATCAGTTGCAAAGGAGCAGTATGCTTTAATTATCACCATTTGCGATGCAATTGCTACTGTTTTTGATTCTTGAAATTAAAAGACAATAATTGAAAATAAAAGCTACTGAAATAAAACTACATTGTTAAGAAGTTATGATCCGAACAGGATAGAGCTAATCAGACTACTTGTACATTTCCAATGATCAAGATTTGCACAGGTCCAAGATATATCCTAATTATCTCAAATATGGAATGGTATTTAGATTCTAAAGGTCATCGATCTATTTATTATTTCACCAAAACAGACCTTGAAAAATAAAAGGTCTAATGCTCAATTATATTTTAAGAAAGCTGAAGCATTAATATTAAATAAAAATCTAACACCAATTAAATGAAAAGTTTTTATTGAATGAAACCCAAGATTTAATCTGAGATTAAATCAGGTGTTTTAGTTGAAAAAAATATACATTTCTACATATCAAAATGCACTGAAAGTATAATAAAACGTTGACTGGTGAAATACTTTGAAACTAGGAAAGATGTAGACTTAAATCCCAGTCCAATCAGTTTGCAATATGGATATGCATAGAGACATTCCTTACCTTCAGAAAAAGGCAGGAGAAAAAATACAAGAAATGGGTAGGTACACATATATTTCGCAACTAGATACATTAGACTACCACTTGCTTGGACCAAAGCCAAATCATACAGACAGAGAAATAACTACAAATGTAAAGGCTTAGTCAGTAAAGGCCAGAGTATTCCAAATCTACATGCTATTCTTTTAAATCCTTTGATCTATCTTGAGCAGTAGTGGAAGTTCCAATAAGCCTTGGTAACCAGGGGCTGAGAGATGGGATGCACAGCAAATCAAGGGAATTAAATTCAAGGGTCTGTCTAGCTGTTTAAAAAGCACACATATGAATAGGATCAGGCTTGGTTTGAATTCCTTTGCATGGTGCCCCCACCCTGCAATCAAATTCTCCTGTTACTCAAATGGGAAATAATCACTCAAGCACTTATCATATGTGGAATCATGCCCACCAGATGTTAAAAAGAATAGAAATTGCTGGAGAAACTCAGGTCTAGCAGCATCTGTGGGGAGAAAATAGAAAATGAGCGTTGGAGATGAGGATGCAGTGGGGGGCGGAGGCAGCTAGTGGAGGGTTTTGGTGGTGAAGGAGAGGTGAGTAAGTACAGAAGGAGCCGAGAGAGAGAGACACGAAAGGATAGGCAGTGACAGGCCTTGTTGATAAGAAGCTAGGACAAAAGAGAAGCTAAATAAGTGATGATGAGAGCTAAGAGTAGGAGAGAATGGGTAGGCTGTACTGAAACGTGACAATAGGACTAAGAGTGGGTAGGAATCAGTTACTATGATAGGGTTAGGGTTAGGGTTAGGGTTATGACAGGACTAGGGTGTGAAGATGGGTTAAAAAAAAAAAAAAGGCTCTAAAGTTATTCTACTGAGTCCTAGAGGTTGCAGGGTCTCCAAACAAAAGATGAGGTGCTCCTTTTCGAGCTTCACTGGAACACTGCAGCAGGCCTGCGACAGAAATAAGGTGTATTGAAGAGGCAACTGAAAGCTCAGCATCATTTTTACAGACAGAATATTGGCTGTTTTACAAAACACCTCTCAGTCTGCATGTCGTCTCCCCAGTGTAGAGAAGACCACATTGTGAGCAGTGAATACAGTAGACTAGATTGAAGGTGAGTTGTTGCTTCACTTGAGCCCTCGGATAGTGAGGAGGGAGGAAGTAAACGGGTGTGTGTTACATCTTCAGCAATTGAATGGGGAGGTGCTGTAAGGGTTTTGGGAGTGGAGGAGGAGTGGACTCGGGTCCTGGAGGGAACAGTCCCTGTGGAATGCTGACAAGGGAGGAGACGGAAATGGTGTTTGGTCAAGGCATCCCACTGGAGATGATGGGAATAGCAGTTTACAAAGTTAACAAAGTACATGGAAGCTAACAAGATGACATCCAGACTCTCAAGATTAGTCGCTAGCAAAAGCTTTGGGTAGGAACTGAGTTTTTTAAAATTCATTCACAGTATGAAGGCATCACTAGATACGCTAGCATTTATTGCCCATCCTTAATTGGCCAGGGGGCAGTTAGGAGTGAACCACATTGCTGTGGGTCTAGAGTCACATGTACAGTAGACCAAGTAAGGACAGCAAGTTCCTTCCTTATTGTCCTTCAGGGTTAGGGTTAAAAACCAGATGGGTTTCTGCAATCAACAATGGATTCATCGTCATCAGTAGACTCTTAATTCCAGATTTTTATTTAATTCACATTCCACATCTGCCATGGTGGCATCTCCAGAACATTATCTGGGTCTCTGGATTAAGGGTTCAGCAGTAAAACCGCTAGGCCATTGTCTCCCCTTCCTACAAAGATACCTACAAAGATGTGGGAAACAGAGATAATAATTGTGGTAATTATAATTGTTATTGTAATATACATACCATAATCTATAAATAGCTTGAAGGAGCTCTGTTTATTTCATATATGAATTACAATCTGTTCTCCGAGTCCTCTATCAATTAGTGAAATACCCTATATCAAACATTTCTTGTAGTCACCGATCTACTCTACAATTTACTTTGTTATTGATCTTTGTCTCATCAACAAATTTGGAAACTCTCTGTCTGTCTCTTCATCCAAGTAATTTACATAAATTGGAAACACTCAAGGTCTCAGCACCAGTCCCTGTGGCATACCATTTTTATGACTTACCAACCTGACAAAGACCCATTTACAACTATTCTGCTTTTTGCTGGCCGGCCAATCTTTCAGCCATGCCAAAATCCCAACCCCCTACACAAACTTTTTATTTTTTTCTTAGGCTTTGATGTGACATTGTGTAAAATGCCTTGTGGAAATCTAAGTACCTGTACAACCACCAGTCCCGCCTTCATACAAAAGTATTACTTCTTCAAAGAATTTGAAGAGATTGGTCAAACACAATCTTCCTTTCACAAAACCATGTTGACTCTGCCTGATTACTTTGAGCTTATCCGACTGCCCTGCAAAACTGCTTCACTAATAGCTTCCAACTGTTCTGATTGACAGATGTTAAGCCAACTAGCCAGAAGTTTCCTGCTTTCTGTCTCCTTTGCTTTTTGACTAAAAGAGTAACGCTCACTAATTTTCCAATGTAATGTAACCATTCTTAAAACCAGGGGGTTTTGGAAAATTAAAACCAACGCATCATCTATCATACTAGCCACTTCTTTCAAGACCCCGGGATGAAGTCCACCAGGGCGCAGGCATGTATCACACCGCTGTCAATTTACTTAGTACCACTTCTCTGCTGGGAGTAAGGCAAGAGCGGAGGTTCGCAATCAGCAGCCATATGCCCAGCCCAATGTCAGATCCCTGGGTTGACCACTATGCCTTTGAAAAGGTGACTTTTCTTAGAAAGACACAAGCAAACCTGATGGAGTGTTGGGTGGCGTGTGCACGTGGTGAGGTTATTAATCAACTAATTGGTGTCAACTGGTTCAACAGTAAGCCCAACTGATAAACAGCTACAAGTCAGAGCTCTTGTGCTGCTGTTATAATGTCGCTACCTCTGGGCCAGAAGGCCCATGTTCAAGTCCCACCTGTTCCAGTGGGGTGTTGTAACAAGGCAAACAAAATAGAAAAATCACCATGAGGGTTTTTGTAGCTCAATGGTAGTATTCCTACCACTGAGCCAGAGGTCCAACTTGCTCCAGGAGGTATGTAATAACATTGCTGAACTGCTCGATTAGAAAATACCTGCAATGGTAGTGTTCCCAACTCAGGGCCAGAAGGTCCAGATTCAAGTCCCAGGCATAACATGCCTGAGCAGGCTGATTAAAAGTATCTAAACTATCACAAGTGGACGAGATTCTCATAGGCCCTTTTCCATCTTCAGCTTAAAACAGCAAAAGCTTTCTGGTCAGTGACTGTTATGCAATCTCACACAATTAAGTGGGCTCAGTCATGTTTCCCACTAGGTCCAGCCTATTGTATCTGCTGTTAATTGGGAATGACAGGAACAAAGGCAGTAATGAGCAATGTAACAAATCTCATCATCCTAGTGTTAATATTTCATATCAGTAAAAATAACATGACTTATTCCTCAGTATTAAAGTTAAGAGGGAATATTTCAGCTTTCAGATCATAAACCTCTTCATTGCCTCCTTCCTCCTAAAACTTCCAATCTTCAGTTTCCTGCACTTACCTTCTACTTTTAGGATTATGACCTCCTTTGCATGCTTCTTTTTTACTCAACTATTGATTAAAACGTATCAAATGTTTCAGCTTCTCACACTCATTCTCTAAACCCTTCCAACCTGCTACTTTTCTCCCCTTGAAAACTAAGATAGGGGATAGATTTTGAGGTATTCTTGACCACTAATTTGATTTCCATCTTCCTCCATTTTTTAGATTCATTATTTTCTGCTCTTAAAGAACATTGATGTGCTATATGTTTAAAAACCCTGTATAATCCATGTTGCTACTTTTTAAAAGAAATTCACCTGCTTAATAGATCTCTGATGAGTGAGAGTTTAGCCATGTTTTTTATGTTTGAAGTTTTCAGAATTTCCACTGAACAATGTATTAGATAGCAGACTGAACACAGTAAAGCATCCCAAAGTGCTGCAAAGAAGGGATTATCAAACCATGTTTGACACAGGTCCAATATTCCCACAGGTGATCAAAAGCTTAGCCAAAAGAAGTATATTTTAGAGAATCTTTAAGAGAGGGAGAGAGAGAGATATATATGGAGGAAATGCCTCATGATTCAAATTCTAAGAATTAAGAATTTAGTAACAAATTGCATTTAATTTATCTATATTCACTTGTACAGGATGCGACATAATTCAATAAGATCACCTGAAACTGAAGGAATTGAGATTTTCCTAAATACAATTCAGACAGCAAATGGCACAAACTAAACACTGCAAACCTGATGGTTGATTTTGACCCCTTGTTTGCAACAGATAACTGATGTCAGAACTCAGGACTCACATTGCATTTTAAAAAATGAAGCATTTGAGCCTGTGGCATAGAATTGTCAGTAGTTTGGATTTCTCACACCAGCCATTGCAACAGATACAAAAACTGCTTTGAGTGTGCTCATTTGGATACTCTGGAATTAACGTACTTGTCTGTGCAGATGCTCATTTTCCTGTATTTTGTTCTGCAGATCTTCATCAAACACACTCTGTCGCTGCTGATTCATCTGAGTTGGAGGGTCAACACTCTTCTGCTGTACAAAGTCAGTTCAAAATTAGTATCCATTCTAATTTATATTACACAAAAATATACAAGAAATGCTACATGACTGTATATGGCATTTAAAACAACACCAAAGATCTGAGCCAAAGGGGCATTATCTAATGTGACTGTCAACTCATGATCATATGTTTATTTCAAAATATGTTTCAATTCCTAACATTGCCACTGGGTGGTGCTGCACTAATGTAATTGCTGGAGTGAGCAAACATCTCAACATAGGCAAAGCCAGATGATTATCTTGTCCCAGCCATGCTATTCAAACTTGTCACAAAGTACAATAGACCCAAATTTAGCCTGATCTATACTTGAAGGAAAAAAATGCTGCCTAACTCCTTCCTTCATACATCCCAGCTGGCACATGGCAGACTTTCCACACTGCCGCTTCCAAACTCAACTCCAGTGGATTCACAAACTCTGGGCCTGTCAACAAAATGAACCAAGCAAAATTCATGAAGTTTATTTGTTAGCAGTTAGACCACCTTGTGACCAACACCCCAGAAGAAAACCTACTTGCTTGCTTTGTTTCCATGCTCATCACAATTTCACATGTCAGCCTGCCCAAGCAGCCCAAAGACACCTCACCAAATCTTTAGGAACTTCTGTAACCATCACTAAACATTGTTTTTAATTTCAAGTCCTAATCCTAATTGAGCAGTTTTCATATTTGCCCAATGTTCCCAAGCATCGCTTTTCGCATCTGGAATAATTCATGTCCTGATATCCCACCTTTCCTACTATCAATTGACCCTCTCTCTCCTTTTCCTTTCACATCCCTCCTCTTTATTCCCTTGTCACCATCACATCATTCTCACCTTTCATCAGTATCCTCCTATCCTATTTTTGATTTAGCATTCTCTAAACTTGACTAGATATCAACTCACTGTGAAAGGCCACTGGGGATTAACAAAGAATTCAAAGCCAAACTGCTTACGCTATTTAAAGACAACTGATAAAATAATCAATATTTGAGGCAAATATAATTACAAGTATTCCTTTTCTTACACAAGCACATTACAGTAACCGACATTGCCTCAAAAGGTTGGAAGCCGATAGAATAATCTGCAAAGAAGTTGCCTAAATATTTTGAAGGGGAAGCTTCAAACTTCTGGAGAGGCAGTGGATGGAGAACTAATTGGATGGATCTTTGAAATGAGCCAGCACATGCACAATTAGTAAAATAGCCTCGTTCTGAAATATATACCACTTTGATTCTCAATCATTAGGCCATAAGACTGTAAGATATAGGAACAGATGTAGACCATTTGCCCCATCAAGTCTACTCTGCAATTTAATGAAATCATGGCTGATCTGGTAATCCTCAACTCCACTTTCTTCCCTTTTCCCTATAACCCTCAACTCCTTTACTGATGAAAAATCTGTATCTAGCCTTAAATTTAATTAATGACCCAGCCTCAACCAAACCTCTGCCATAAAGAATTCCACATATTCACCCCCCTCAGAAGAAATTCCTCCTGTCTTCAATGTGTGACCCCTTACTCTGACTTTGTGTCCTCTGTTCCTAGACATGCTTTACCACAAGGGAAAAACAATCTCTCCACATCTACTCTGTTAAGCCCCAAAGAACCTCATGTTTCAAGAAGTTCTCCTCTCATTCTTAATTCCAACAACAACCTACTTAACTTCTCGTAAGAAAATCCTTCCTTACCCGAAATCAACCAGTGAACCTTCTCCAGACTGCCTCCAATGTCATAATATCTTCCCTTATGCAAGGGGACCAAAATTGTTCTCAATATTCTGTGTGGTCTAACTAGTACTGTGACAATGTAAACTTCACAACTTTAATAACTGTTCAGCGATTGAATGAATCAACAAATGATAAACTGTTACACATGGAAAGAATCAGCAATAACTTTCGGGAATAAACTTTCTTGAGATGGAAGATGCAAGGAGACACTGTTATAAAGGAATTGAAATCAACATGCAAATTAGCCAACCCTGGAATGGAGCTGAAGGAACGTAAACATTTTGTTTCCTGGGAGCAAGGAGATAACAACAGCTTGACAAGCTCCTACCTCATGACAAATGGGCAATTCAGATTGCGTACAGAAATAATGTTCTGAAGTAAAGGGGATAATTGCAGGAAAAGCTGTGTTTAGAACAGACAGCTAACCCCGAATGTAACAAGGAAGAGGGGAGCTACTTCTGCTAAGAAGGCAAGTTATCCTGTCTCCAGGAAAGTTATCAATTTTGGGGATGAAATAATTTATTGAATCATCAATAATGCCACACCACAAACTTGAAAGAGAGAAAACTGTACAAGAAACCAACACCAGAACAAGTCAATGGCAGAACTTCAAGAAAACAACACTGCATAAGGAGACGGACACTGTTGGTGGGATCCTGGCCAGATTCCATCATTAATTGGGTGGTAGCCAAGTTGAGTTGAGACTTAACTTGCTTACTTGAGGGATCTTATTTTGGTTGCTACATGCAATAAAGTTTAAATAACTATTTCAGTACTTAATTGTCTGTGAGATTTCTTGATAAGTAGCCAAATTAAATTTGTGGTGATTTATCCAAAACAGTGCTCTTAGCAAGACTTCGTTATTTTTATACTCCAGTCCCTTTGAAATAAAGGCTGATAGTTCATTTGACTTCATGATTACCTGAACTTGGGTGCTAGATTTTTGTGATTCATTCAAGTAGACTCTCACATCTCTCTGTCAGAAACTTTCAGCAGCTTTCAGCCTTCTTTCTCCATTCAAATAATATTCACCTCCTCTAATTTTCCTGCCAATGCACATAACCTCACATTTTCCCACAATACATTCCATTTGCCAACTCAACCTCAGTATATCACTCTGTAGACTTCGTCATCTCTATGACATGCATTCCCTATTCTTCAGTATAGTACATTCATTTTCCTCATCTGAGTCATTAAAATAGACCATAAATAACTGTGGTCCTAGCACCGATTCCTGTAGCACTCCACCAGTGGGCATCCTGAAAATACCCCTTTATCCCAACTCTCCATCTTCTATTAGTTAGTCCATCCTCTAGCCCTGCTAATATACAACCCCAACACTATGGTTCATTTCTCAGGTGGCCTTGTGGTTGGTACCTTATTTAACACCTCTGGAAATCCAGATTTATGAAATCTTACAAGTTCCCTTTTATCTATTGTTTGTTACCTCCTCAAAGAATGCCAATAGGTTTGGCACGATTTCCCCTTCATGAAGCCATGCTGACTCTGCTTAATTATACTTTGTATTTCTAATGGTCTCTGGACAGATCTGATAACTGACAATGTGAAATCAAATTTAGTTTAGAATTTTTGTTAAGATTACAAATTCAAATGATATCAAAATTGGTGAGGCCTAGACTGTTCAGAAAACAAGTGCATTCTTTCCCTTCTGACCCTGGCTTCAAAACTACACAAAATAGTCGTAACATATCAATACATGATTTAAGCCCAAAAGTGCAATTCCAGATCACAGTGCTGAAATATAAACCTCAATGTGTAAATTTATCACTGGTTCAAACTGTAAATAAGCAGCCCATCCTCCAGCTCTTCTAATACCACGCAGGGTTCTCTCCTCTTTACCCTCCATTAAAACAAGCAATGAGTAACTTCCTCCTGTAGCCTTTGATACTGAAATCAGAAATTGTATATGTAGAATCACAAGCAATCTGCTGCATAGGGCTAAGAACTGATTCAAAACTTGCTGTACAAACCAGGACTGGAAAACAAATTAAACACTTGTATGTATTTGGGGCTTATTAGAAGTCAATTATTAACTCAAATTATAGGGTTACAAATGAATACCTTGCATATAGTGTACACGTAAATCACACAGGAGTGTCACAAACTTCCCATTGTCTGAAAAATTGAACCACTAATCGGCAGCGTAAACCTGGTGGAAATTTTTAGTTTCGGTCATTTACTACTCATGTCAAACATACTATTGTAACAGAACCCTCTACGGCATTTTATTCCTGTGTTGCAAACTTCAGCAATACAACCAATGTTAACAAACTGTAAAAATAAAACAAAGACTTGCAGCTGCTGGAAATCTGAAACAGAAACAGAAATTGCTGGAGAAACTCAGGTCTGGCAGCATCTGTGGAGAGAAAGCACAGTTAATGATCGTAGCTAGGGAAGGATGGTATATATGCTAAAGAACAGGAGTGGGGTGGATGGGAAACAAGTGAGTGGATAGGCGGCAATGAAGCCCAGAGAAAGAGAACGACAGTAAAGGAGACAAAGTGATGGATGATAATGTTCCAAGGAGAAAGAAAAGCTGATAACGGGGCCCACAAATAGGTGAAAGGGCTTGGGATGTGGGAGTGGGTTAAGGACATAGAAGATGGTGTTCGAGTTCCGAAGCTATTGAACTCGATATTGAGCTCTGAAGGTTACAGGGTCCCCAAGCAGAAAATGATATGCTGTCTTCCAGCTTGTGCTGAGCCTCACTAGAACACTGCAGCAGGCCAAAAACAGAAATGTGGACCAGGGAACATGGTGGCATGCTAAAGTGACAGGCAACTGGAAGGATCATTTTGTGGACAAAACATGAGTACTCTGCAAAGCAGTCACCCAGTCTATGTTTCAACTAACAAAAAATAGTCTGCGTCTTGTATTACCAAACAGTAATATTGCTAGGAAACAACGATTAGACAGCTGCACTCTCTTACCAGAATGTTTACACTTTACTACCCAAGATGGAAAAGCAAAAGTAATTTCCAGTATTAACTTGAGGGAAACCAAAACTTTTTAAATTTCCAGAACACACAGCTACTGTGCTAAATGACAGAGTTCCAACGTGTCAAAGCAACAAAAGCCTAATAGCTGTGATGGCAAGAACAAAGATTTTGCATGTCAAAGGACATCACAACAAATTGAGTTTTTCCAAACAATATATCCTAAATCCAATAATCTCCTATTTAACATATGCTTTTACCTTTCCCCTTGCTTCCTTCCTGACTCAATGGGAAAGAGATACCCGAGATTCCAAACTATGCTGACCGTCATCGTATGCAAAGGTTTTTATAAGCTACCAGGCGATTCATAGACCAAGAACAAATGAAAATAAAACCTTCATTCATTTTTCTTAAGGATACTGATGGCATCTGTCAATGTCAGAAAGAACAGACAGTGATCAATTCCTCGCCCACAAATTTATAGTGACAGCTGATAGCCTAGAGTGTATCTGCCAGTATCCCATGATAGAATCCATGGGTGAACTACCATCAATGGGAGAGCTGTGACAAGCTACCAGACAGATGGAAAATCGACAAGGCGTGTCATCCATATGGTGTTCCAGCTGAAGCATTCATTTTCGGTAAGCATTGCACACCCCAAAACTCCATGAACACATCCAGCTGAGGGAAGAGCACAGAATCCCTTCCCAACCTCAGGAATGCAAAGACTGCAACCGTCTTCAAGGGAAATCAATCTCAAGGCTCTGAATCATGCTCCAGAGATGGTTGATCAATTGGCTCGATGGTAATGATAGAGTGAGGATATGCTAGGCTATGAGGTTACAGATTGTATTGGAGTATGATTCCATTGCTGCTGATGGCCCCAGAGCCTCATTTTTAATTGAATTCAAATTGCATCTTCTGCAGTGGCAGGATTCATTACCTGGGTCACTGGATTAATTTTCCAGTGGTAACACCATTTAGAGGAGAGATAGTGGGAACTGCCGATGCTGGAGAACCTGAAGGGTCTAGACCCGAAACGTCAGCTTTCCTGCTCCTCTGATGCTGCTTGGCCTGCTGTGTTCATCTACACCTGTTATACCATTTAGAGGAGTACATGTTTGAATCAAGGCTGTAATGAAGTCAGGAGCTGATCCCAAAATAGCATCAGTAACCAGATTATTGCTAAGGAAGCATTGCATGATCAAGACTAGACTGAATGGGTGATGACTGCCCAGGTTGGATTTGTCAAACTTTCGGGGCATACCTATGCAATTTTCCACATTGTTGGGCAGATGCCGGTGTTTTAGCCATACTGGAACAGCTCAGCTAAGGGCATGGCAATTTCTACATGTCTTCAGTACTATTGGCAGAATCCCGTCAGGGCTTATAGCCTTTGCAGTATCCAATGCCTACAGTTGCTCTTTTATATCATGTACAGTGAATCGAATTGGCTGAAGGTTTGCAACTGTGATGATGGGGGATGTCCAGAGAAGGCACAGACGAATCTTCCTTGGTTCATTCACGGGATGAGGGTGTCGCTAGCTAGCCCATCCCTAATTGCCCAGAGGGCAGTTAAGAGTCAACCACATTGCTGTGGGTCTGGAGTCACATGTAGGCCAGACCAGGTAAGGACATTAGTGAACCAGATGGGTTTTTTCTGACCATCGACAATGGATTCACAGTCATCATTAGATTCTTAATTCCAGATATTTATTGAATTCAAATTCCACCATCCACCATGGCGGGATTCGAACCCAGGTCCCCAGAACATTATCTGGGTCTCTGGATTAACAGTCCAGTGATAATACCACTAGGCCATTGCCTCCCCTTATCTTACACTTGGCATTTCTGTCTGTAGATTGCTGCTAAAGACAACACTGAAGCATTTGCAATGATATGTTGGGTCCCCCAACTTTGAGGGCAGGATTGTATATGAAGCTTCCTCCTCTTGCAAGTTCTTTAATTGTCCACCAGTATTCATGACTGAATGCAGGAGGACTAGAGTTTAGGTCTAATCCATTGGTTATGAAATAACTTAGTCCTATCTATCACCTTCTGCTTATGCTGTTTGGCACATAAGTCAGCTTGTGTTGTAATTTTTCTACTTTGTGTAACCGATAAATTTAGCAATCATACCCTGAATATCTTCATTCCAGTCATTTATATACATTTTAAACAAGTTGAGACCTTAGTACTGATCCCTGTGGTACACAGCTCATTATATCTTGCCAACCAGTAAGAGTCACATTTATGTGAATCATTTCCTGTCAGCTAGCCAATCTCTTATACTTACCAAAATATTACCCTGCTGCAATACAAGTGTTTATTTTTCACAACAAATTTTAATGTAGCTTATCAAATGACTTCTGAGAATTCCAATATATTAAAAATCAACCAATTCCCCTTAAACCACAGCCTGTTGCTTCCTCAGAGAACATTCATAAATTAGTTAAAATCATATTGTCTCTGCCTGATTATCTTCAACTTCTCCAGATGCCCTGCTTTAAGATCTTTAATTACTTCTATTAGTTTCCCTTTGACAAATGTTGAACTAACTGATCAGTAGCTTCCTGCTTTGCATTGCCCTCCTTTTTTAATAAAAGGAGTGACATGCCCTATCTTCTGACCTAATTGAACCTTCCCTGAATCTAGGGAACTTGGAAGAGTTAATCAACCATCTCACTAGCTAATTCTTTTCATAGTTTATAATTTGCTGGTTAAGATAAAGTCCATCATGGCCTGGAGACTTGTCAGCACACAGCTCCAATAATTTACTCAACACCACTTCATGATGATTGTAATTTTTAGTTCCTCCTGCTCTTCCTTGTACCATTTACAATGAAGAACAAAACAAAACTCTGTTCAATTCTTCTGCCATTTCCTTAATTTTCTTCTATTAATTCACCAAACTCACTTTCTTTAGGACTAACTTTCCGTTTATGAACTCTTTTTCTGTTTAAACAGAAACTCTTTTCATATTGCTAGCGAGCTTTCTCACATTCTTTTTCTTTCCTTATTTATCTTTTAGTCATTCCATGATTTTCTTTTGATACTCTGTCCAATCTTCTGACTTGCCACCCATCTTTGCACAATCATATGCTTTTTCTTTAAGTTTCACACTACTATTTACCAGCGAGTCAGTATAGATCAGTAAGACATAATAATAGACGAACAGCACTTGATGCAAATAAGGACAAAGAGAATTTTGGATGACTTGTGGAGTATGCAATGTGAGACAATGACTGGGAGTGCATTGCAAATGTCAAAGGCTGCCAACAACTTAACTACATTTGCTTTGGTTAAGAAATATTTTGAACAAAGACTTCAATTTTTTTTTCCCCCTCAATAACAGTGAAATGATAAATACAACTTACATACGTGAGCAGCAATTTGCAAAGAGTGTGGATTCAAAAAACACTCATGCTATGCCATCAGCTACGTAGTTTCATTCAAAATTCAAAAACTTTGGACCCAAGAAACCTTGTTCCTTTCTAGATTTTACCTTGCTCTTCTTGCCTTTGGCCTCAGTAGTTACTAGTTCCTCTTGAAGTAGCTCTACACGCTTTGCCAGCTGCTGATTTCGGAATGTCAGGCTATCCATTTCTTGCTGCAACTTCCTAACACTTTGGTCCTTCATCTTCAGTTCCTCCTGAGGCAGGAAAAAAAACCTGTCTTAAGTTAGTTTTTACTCAATGAGAGCATAGAGGTGATAATAGGACTTGATAATACCACTGCACTCCTTATAGTTGTTCCTAACATAATACAAAACAAAGGGGATGGATGAATGAATGGAACTTGCTAAGATTTTAGGATATAGGAAGCAAAGTTTAGGAGAACTGCAAGCTAATGAAGGGTGGATGATTGGAAGTCATTCAGGAGTGCCCTGGATAGTCAAATCTACAGGTGTCAAATTCACAGATGGCTAGGGATCAGAGATTCCTTACAAAATCTGTAGACAATGGATTAAGTCTTAACAAAATGTTATTGGAAGAATTTTCTACTTTTCCTGCACTGAATGCCAGCCAGCAGTCTGATAATTTAGTCACGATGGATGGGACACGTGAGGTGGTCAGGAAATAGAGCCGATGTTGTTTTTGAATGTCACAAAGGGGCAGTGTGCAATGAGAGGTATCAAGGACTAATCCTTTGCTGACGGGAGTATCGGCGAAGGTTCAGGAAGGGAAGCCAATGCACAGGATTCTCCGGCTGTAATTAGATAAATAGAGTGTGGTCCTAACAAATCGGACAGAGGTGGAAAGGAAGAGGATGATGTGGTCAATCATGTCAAAGGTTGCAGACTAGTCTAAAAGGATGAGGTGGCATAGTTCACCATGTTTACATTCATAATGTGACTTTGATAGAAAACTTGTATTGTGGCAAGTTGGAAAGAGATTGGAGGTGCTCAAACTCCCAGGAAAGATCTACAGAATAGAGAGAGCACTTTCAAGGATTGGAGAGAAGGTGGAGATGGGGTGATACTTCGTAAGGACTGAGGGTACCGAAGAATTTATTTCCAAGAGTGGTGGTGACAACAGGGATGGTATTGTACCCGAGGAGCGAGAAGAATAGCAGTTAACACGAAGGTCAAGAAGGAAAATTGAGTAGTTAACAGTTTAGCAGAATAGGGTCAACAGAACAGGAGATCTCAAACAGCTCAGAGAAGGTACAAGGGGAAATAGGAAAGAAACTAGAGAAAGTTGAGTTCAGGGATAATCTGTGGAGGAAGTGTGACCACGTGAGAAGGGAAAGGAAGGAAAGCAACAGCAAAACAGTCTTGACCTTAGTGATAGAGATATCTGTGAGCTCCTTTCACTTGCTGTTGATGGGGAGAGTGGAGGAAATGGGAGATAGGGGTACAAGAAAACAATATGCAATAAACGAAAAATGATGGGAGTTATCTTTGAATTCCAGGATGATCATGGGATTGAGTATTTTTGAAAATAAGCAGAAATTGAGTGCTTTATAATTGTTCAGCCAGTTCTCACATCTCTCGCCTGCGAGGAACCTCCCATTCCACCAAGGGAAAGATAACTCCTAAAAGGAATAGAGCATAGTATGAAGATATTTATAAAGTTCGTTCCCATCACTTAGTACAGTAGAATACGCACTCAAAACAGCATGAGCGTAAATGGAGTAAGATACAATAACATATAGATAGAATGTATATTATATTAAGTTGCTTTAAGGATCAACACGTTATGTAAAAAGTTAGATGTTCACGTGAGGAAAACATTAGAACAAATTACCAAAATCTGTCAAAAGGATGGAGTTTAAGGACCGTCTTGAAGGAAGGATACGCATATACTTGAAGGGATTAGGAAGGGAATTAGACGTTACAGAATTGGAGGTTAGTTAGGCAGCTGAAGAAATGTCACCAATGGTAGAAGAATTAAAATTAGGGATGCTCAGTAGGTCAAAGTTAGGAACTCCCAGATACCATAGACGGATGTGGGGCTGGAGGTGCTTACAAGAGGTAGGGTGGGACTGTGGAGGTATTTAAAAGTAAAAGAGACTTTTAAAATCAGAGCGTTGTTTGACCAGGAACCAATCTAGTTAGGGTAAAAGATGAATGGGACTTAGTGCAACAAAATCCAGGCAAAGTTTTGGGATGGATTTACTTCGATAGATGGTAGCATACAAGGTATCAGCCAAGAGTCAGTCATTTACTCATGGCTGTAAACAGAGAGGGGAGTGTGCAGCAGGGCCTGGGTATTCTTGTGCACCAGTTGCTGAAAGTAAGCACGCAGGTGAAGCAGTCGGTAAAGAAGGCAAATGCTATGTTGGCCTTCATTGCAAAACATTTGGAGTACCAGAGCAAGGATGTGTTGTTGCAGTTATACAGGGCCTTGGTGAGGCCACACCTAGAATATTGTGCGCAGTTTTGGTCTCCTTTGCTGATGAAGGATGCTTTTGCTCTCAAAGGAGTGCAGTGAAGGTTTACCAGGCTGATTCCAGGGATGGCAGGTCTTACATGAGGAAAGATTGACTAGGTTAGGATTGTTTTCACCGAGTTCAGACGAATGAAAGGGAATCTCATACAGACTTATAAAATTCTAACAGAACTGGACAGGGTAGATGCAGGGAGTATGTTCCTTATGGTAGGTGTGTCCAGAACCAGGGGTTACAATCTGAGGACTCGGGGTCAACCATTTAGGATGGAGATGACGAGACACTTCTTCACCCAAAGAGTGGTGAGTCTATGTGGAATTCATTACCACAGGAAGTACTTGATGCCAAAACATTGAATGTATTCAAGTAGTGACTAGATATAGCACTTAGGCAAATGGGATCAAAGGTTATAGGGAGAAAGCAGGAGTAGGCTATTGAGTTGGACGATCAGCCATGATCATGATGAATGGCGGAAGCGGCTTTGTGGGCCAAATGGCCTCTTCATGCATGGCCTCCTCGTGCCCCTATCTTCTTTATTTGTATGTTTCTATTTATCAAGCCTAAAATAACAGACAAAAAATAATATGCACATGACTTTCCCAGCCACATATTCTCAATCCAAATCTAAATTTTAGTTCAAGAGTCAACAGACATGAAGGAGAATGGGCGGTGCCCCACAGTGAATCAGATCAGGTGTCCATCGACGATGCTCCATGGGGAAAGATCTCATTCACAGCTATGCTAGTGATAAACAGGGGTTAGTGGCAAAGGCGGCAAAATAAATAAAACAGCATACATGTTTAGAACTTGGTTGCAACTCAATCAATAGCTAACAGTAGGGCTGTTACAGCTATGCAAATTTCTGCAATAAATTAGAACAAAGAATTGCAGATGCTGGAGATCTGAAATAAATACAGAAGTTCCTATTGAAACTCAGCAGGTCTGGCAACATCTGTGGGGAAAAAGCAGAGCTAATGTTTCAAGTCCAGTTTACCAGTTGAAGAAGAGTCACCAGACTTGAAATGTTAACTCTGCTTTCTCCTCACAAATTTCTGCAATGCTTTGAATTTCCAGACTTCCAACTATAGAAAAGAGAGTCACCAAAACTGCACTGACACAAACAATTTTTGTAAGTTGTGTTTATGTATCTTTCACAGCAAGATCTTACAACAATTGAGCAACTAGATAATTTGTTTTAGTGATATTGTTGGAGGAATGAATATTGGCCAGTGCACCAGAGAAACCTCCCATGCTGGTCCAAATTTGCATGGATCTTTTGTATTTTCTGTTCTTTCTGCTCTCTTCTATTCTCTCCTGCCCAGCAAATATTAAATTTGTATTTCAGACTATGAATTGATTTATAATTTGAATATAATTTACATCAGGTCAACCCATACTTAAGTCAAGATCAATTCTCTGTAGTTAAATGAATTGCTATACTCACCATTTTCTCATTTACACTACTTGATCATTTTTCATCAAATCAAGTCAAGAAAGTTAATTTGGATGATGCTATGGTTTTGTTTTAAAAGATCAACACGTTCGGACAGGTTATGACATGCCTTCACACGACAGATGAGACTTAATTCTAGACATTCTGACCCAGAGGTAGGGACATTGCCACTGCGTTACAAGAACCCAGATATCATATAGTATGCACAAGTTTTAAAATTAATTATTTAACCACTAGAACCCCACAATAAAACAATAGTCCTGCTTAAGCAGCAACATTTAAACGTATTTCATTTAGGCTAAAAAAGTAAACAATTTGGTCTGGAAATCAAACATCAAATCTTAAAACATAGCTATAGTTACATCTCTCAGATGCAAGAGATTCTCAACCTTACCTTTAAAGATGCTCCTTGGCCTTGTTCATCTACAACAGCCTTCTTCAGTACTTGGTTCTGAGCACGGAGCTAAAATATTTCAAGGAGGTTAATATTTTACCAATGGAATACACAGCAATAATTATTTCAGTAAACATTAGGTTAACCAGTTACAAAGCAGAATTAACTTTTCATGTAGCTAGTAATTCAACATATGCTCACAGTATTAAAGATAAAATAAATATATGCTACAAACAGTTTTCACAAATAATTCCTTTCATCAGTAAAATAGGGAATATAAACACTTACAGTGCAAAAAATTTGTTCAATCTACAATTACTTGCAAAAGAGTTTTCTATCCGTTCCCCACTGTTTGCATACCTTCGATCATTTCTCAAATCATACAGAAATTTGATAAGCTGTCCAAATTTCTTTCGATGCTTCTTTTCAGTTATAATTAAGAACTGCATAACCTGAGAAGCAGGCATACAATTTACTCTCGGCCATTCTCTTTTCGACAAAACAGGAAGCAATAGTTCTCTTTCCAGAACTTCCACCAATGGCATGGCCAAAAATCAAGAACTTGCCTTGTGGAGAAAATATCATGTACTTGGATCTCACCACTGCATATAGTATCAAAGCTACTATTCTTGATTCAATGTATACTCAGTTTAAATGTATTTGACGATTTAACAATTTGCTCAAAAACAAACCCAGAAAGTAATAAAGAAATTACTTCGTAAATTATGTCAGGAAGAATTACTATTTAGTCTATTTATATCAATATATAATACATATGGAACAATGTGCAACTCAATTCGCAGAGAGAGCTTCTTGAATATCTCAAATTGCTCCCATCACTATCCAACTGCTGAAATCGGTACCTTCACACGGGTGTTAGTTAACTGAAGACACACCCATGTTTGGAAAGTGCTTTGACAGTTCAGATATATACACTACAAACCTTAATTCTAAAGAAAGGAAACAGAAGCCAAACGTTAGTAGGCTCTCTCTTTAGAGATGATATCCCATTTCCAGCATTTAAATTTTGTTCTTCCTACATAATCAACCGTACACTAAGAAAGGTTCAAAAGTAGCATAAACATAATTCAGAGGTGATTTATTGCGAACAAGATGTTTTGTGATTTCCAGTCTGTTTCAATACTGTATATAAGCTAATGTCAATGAAGAAACCAAATTAAAGTTTCGGCAACATACGCATGTATTTCCACAGTGATTCGAACTGGAGGTCAGTTTGCTCCAAATTGATGGTCTATCTCAGAAAAAAAGTGAAGAAAAACAAATCAGAAAATGAGCAAACCAGACAAACAGACACACCTTGGAGTACTCCTGTGCAAGTTTCTGATACTTGGCTTGCAAATCTGCAGCCATGGTCAGCAAGCGGTTGATGGCGGTGGGGGAAACGGTGCTTGCAAGGGGCAGCCAGAGCCCGGCGCATTACTCGGGGGGAGCCGGGGCGGGGGACTCGAGCTCCGTCTCTCTCACACAGGCAGCGACATCAAAATAATGGGCTTTTCGTGGGTGGGGGTAAGAAAGCCAGCGACCGCCAGCTACGAAGTGATAAGCGGTTTGTTCCTCCAACCTGCCTGCAACTGATATGACTGACCCGTCGACCCGTCAGCCTGAGAATAGCCCCTCCACCCTGGACCAATTGTCCAGACAGAGCGTGAAGAATTCGCACTTTTTTTGTGAGATACTGGAGCTTTTGCCTCGACCAGCGCCCCTTAGAATAAGAGTTAAAAGGAGTTATTTCCTCTAGCCGAATGAGAAAACAGGCTGCAGCCGCGGTAAACAGACATCCAGAGACGGACCCGGTTTTCAGGCCCACTTCCACCCTCGCAACGACCACTTCCGGCTCCGCGCGTGGCTTCAAAAGGCCGACGCGCAAACTCGCCACGACGTCAACGCGCCCGGCGTCGTCGCCCTAGCAACGGGATCACGTGAGACGCTGCGGCGGCGCGGCCGGTCCTCACTCGACGAGAGAGGGTGCGCGCCGGGGCCAAGTAAATTGTCATGGCAACAAGCTAGCGGCGGCTGAATCCAAGGTAACTTCAAATAAAATACAACAAACAAATCACTAAAAAGGTTATAAAGAGAGCCCACCACTTTCCCGCACGTGTGAAATCCAAACCATAAAGTTGTTGAAAATGCATACCAGGTAAGTTAAATTGTGAAACGAATTTAATTCAAAAGAATTGCTGACAATAACTTATGGACAGTATTGCAACAAACTGGAAATCGCAAACCATCTTGTTCGCGATAAGTCACTGCTAAATTATGTTTACTACTTTTAATTCTTTCGATTGTTCATATGACACGTAAGTTAAGCTGTGAAAGGAAAAAAAATAATTTAAACGAGTTGCTGAGTAGTGGTTTTCCTTTATTGGGATAGGTATTCCACTTTTTGAATTATTTGCTGTTTTGTTATACTTTAAATACAAATACATCAGATTTAATTTATTGCCACCTCCTTAGCTTAGCTGTAATATCCTTCAATACACATCTTTGTTGTAATTTGTTCTTTATCGGTCGTGGGTTTTTCTGGACTTCACAAATAGGGAATCAGTGACATTGAAGTTCGAGACAAAAGGCCTCTGCTGTTGTTCGCCCGTTTTGTTTTGGTTACCAGGATTCAATTTGTTGATGAGAAATAAAAACAGAAAACACAGGTCCGGCAGCATCTGCATACAGGGAAACATTAATATTTCAAGTCAATGATCTTTATTCAGCATTGGAAGTTAACAGTTGCTAATAAGAATCTCTTTTTCATGTTTTTTTTTCTATAATAACTTCCATTTGCCGCAATCTATTAATTTAAAAAGTGACCGAGGCCAAAAATAACCTTCAGGTGACGGGTAGTATGGATAAGGTGGTGTCGAAGATTCATCATTGTGACTATAAACACAGTAAGACTAACAATTGCGAACACAATTTGAAGTCACTGCTTGAAATGATTGAGAATGCAGTGTGTCTATATGTGCACTTTATATAAATTTTAACATTTTGACTTTGTACTATTAATATGCACGTAGGGATCCATACCAAAGTGAATGAAGCATTAACTAGAGAGCAAGCAGGTGAGAGGGGTTGGCAAAAAGGGGATAGGAGAGAGACATGGAGAAAAGGTTGGATTTAGGGATATGGATAGGTAGGGAACTGGGGAGCAGTTAATGGATTTTTAAGTGAGATGGATAAACAGCCTATGGACAAAGGAGCAGGAGTCTAGAAATAATTTTCCTGCTGAGTGGGAAGTAGACGAACATGGATCAGGACTGATTCTTTGGGAGAAGAGCCAAGAGTAAAATGCCAGGGTTGGACTTGTAAAACTCTTTTGCTAGGGTTGGAATATCATAATTAATTCTTAGTGGGAGGTAATTGAAATGGAGGGAAAAAAGGAACATTGATCAACCATAGACTATGAGAGGGTATATTGTTGCTCAGTCATGATTTGCTCAGCTCACTGCAAGAGCAGCAAGTTAACTGATTGTGAGCTCAAGGAGGAGTAAGATTAGCCAAGCAGTCTGGAATTGTATCCAGCTTCCAAGGGAAACTGGTGAGCAGACTGAGGTGTAAAACAGACTCTTTGGCATAAAAAGAAACTAAAAGAAACACTAGCATTTATTCGCTGCTAATCATAACTACATACTAAATGTCTCACTTCACAGGAGATGAAATCCTTTTGAAGTGTAGTCGCTGTTGTGTAGGCAATATAAATAGTAAAAAGCAGTTAAATGAATAAGTGATTAGGCTGGAATTACAGAATATTGGGAGAGGGGTTGCAGATGAAATGCTTTGAAGCAGCGACAGCTAAGAAGGAGGCCATTTGACCCATGAAGACCATGCTGGCTTTCATGAGAACAGTCTAGTCAGTACTACTCCCATGCCTGTCATAATTATGAACATGTTCATCAAATTGCTTCAAGGAGAACAACTGCTAGAGAATTGCAATGGGGCTGCTTTTAAGATCTTAAGAAATAGGAGCAAGAGAAGGCATTTAACCCCTAAAGCCTGCCCAGTAAGATCATGGCTGATATGATCGTGGCGTTAATTCCACTTTCCCGCCAGCAGAAGCTCATCCCTGTTACTCTTGATTTCATCGTCGATCAAAAGCCTGTCTAATTCAGTGTTGAATAATTCTATAATAGGGCTCAAGGTTCAGTGGGATGCCCTGCCTCTGGGCTAGAAGGCCTGGGGTTCAAGTCCAACCGCTCCGGGTGTGCGTCATGTCTGAACTTGTTGATTAGAAATATCTTCAGTGATATATTTACTGGGTCTCTTGTGGTACAGTGGTAGTATCCCTACCTCTGAGCCAGTGTTCAAGTTCCATCTGCTCTAGAGGTGTGTCATACTATATCTGAGCAGGTTTGATTAAACATATCTACATATATATAAAGCGATTTTGTGATGCAGTGTTAGTGTACTTAGCTCTGAGATAAGAGGCCCATGTTAATTATTTGAGACCAATTGTAATTTTGCAACATGGTGACAAGGGACAGGAGAGGATAGTCTGGACTTTAATGTAACGTGATTTCTCCCTTGCGATGAATAGATTGTTCCTCTGTTAGTATTGGTGTCAAGTAAGGAGGAAGGTTGTCACAATAGCTGAAACAGAAATAGAAATTGGGGGAGAAACTCAGCAGGGCTGGCAATATCTGTGGAGAGAAAGCAGAATTAACATTTCGGGTCCAGGGATGGCTAATGGTAGGTTAGGAAGAAAGAAATGCTGATAATGGGGGCCATATGTAGGTGAAAATGGGTTGGCTGTGCTGAAAGCAGCCCATGTCATGACAGGGCTGGAGCTTGAGGTGGGTAAAGGATGTTGAGGAAGGTGTTCATGTCCTAAAATTCTCATGTGTGGATTTGAAAATTTAATACTCTATGGTGCTTGGATGAGAAATTAAAAGCAACACTCTTTATTGCACAGGGAGAGACTTGGTTGGAGTTTGTAAGATCAGCCCATACATCTAGCAACAGTAGGCAAAAGACACTATTAAAACTTTGATTGTTGTGACTGTGTGTATTGTTCCTTCAACCTGAGATTTGACAGTTGCCAGGACAACATTGTTGATTCCTTTCACAAATACTGCTGTGTTTTTTTTATATTCATTGAACATCAAATCACATCTTGACTTAATGTTTAATCAAATGGATGGAATTATAGCAATTTCAGGAGTGCACAAAAGTATTAGCATCAATTATGTGCTCAAGGTCTGTTGTGGGGACTGAACCTACAACCTTCTGGTTTGTTATTGAGAATACAATCAACTGAGAAAGCTGATTAAAAACTCACTTTCAGTTGGCTGATAAATATCTAGTACGTAATTATTTACCAGCTGAATTAAATCAGCCTGTGGTTCAACTGGATCTCTGCTCAATATCAATTTTACTGGCTAGAGTTATTCAGCTTTATTTTGAAAAAAAATGGCCCAGATTTTTCCAGACAGCTGTTTTCCAGCGTAGATGGGAATTGCTAATGGGGACTCTGTAGAATCCTTATTGTAGCAGGCGCTGAAGGAATTGTCCAGAAGATTCCACTGAGTGATTTCTCCATGTCTGGAACACTCCAAAAGTCTCCATTTAAATCATAGACGTTGAACAGTTCTCATGAATTGGGTAAAATAAGTTGCTCAGGAAAAGTAACACTACAGAAGTTGCAGGTGTAGAATCTATGTGAGTAGAATTGGGGAACTGCAAAGGGAAAAAAGACCCTGATGGGAGTTGTGAACAGGCCTCTTAGCAGGATTCAGGATGTGGGCTGAAAATAAATCAGGAGATAGAAAAGGCACGTAAGAAAGGCACTATTGCAAAAATCATGGGTGATTTCAATATGCAGTGGACTGGGAAAATCAGGTTAAGAGCAATCCCAAGAAAAGTAATTCATAGCATGTCTATGAGATTTTTTTTGGAACAACTTGTGATAAAGCCCACTAGAGAACAGGCAATTCTGGATTTGGGGAGGTGTGATGAGGCAGACTTAATTAGGGAGCTTAAGGTGAAGGAATCCCGAGGGGACAGAGGCCACAGTATGATAGAATTCACCCTGCAACTTGCGAGGGAGAAACTGGAATCAGACATAACGGTATTACAATTGAGTAAAGTAGACTACAGAGACATGAGGGAAGAGTTAGCAAGACTTGATTGGAATGTTAGCCTTGCTGGGAAGATGGTGGAACAGCATGGCAGGAATTTCTGGGGGTAATTTGAAAGGCACAGCAGAAATTCATCCCATGGAAGAAGAAACATACCAAAGGTAGGATGAGGCAACCATGGCTGACAAGGGAAGTGAGGGACAGTGTAAAAGCAAAAGAAAAAGCATATAATATGGTGAAGTTTAGTGGGAACCAAAGCATTGGTAAACCTTTAAAAACAGCAGAGGACAACTAAAAAGGCCATATGGGGTGAGAAGCTGAATTATGAGGTAAGCTAGCTAGTAAAAGAAAAGAAAATTGCAAGAGTGTTTTTAGATATATAAAAGGTAGGGGAAAGGCAAGAGCAGACATTGGACTGCTGGAAAATGAGCCTGGAGAAGAAGTAATGGGGAATAAAGGAATGGCAGAGGAACAGAATAGATATTTTGCATCAGTCTTCACAGTGGAAGACACCAGCAGCATAACAAAACTGCAAGAGCATCAGGGGGCAGATGTGAGTGTAGTGGTCATCGCTAAGGAGTAGGTGCTGAGGAAGCTGAAAGGTCTGAAGATGGATAAATCAACAGGACCAGATGGACAACAGCCTAGAGTCTGAAGGTGAACTTTTCCCAGACTACTAACACACACCTCAGATCCCAACTCAATACCATCCCCCACCCCTCAGCAGACCTGACACCTCCCATCCCTGTTCCTGATCTGATTGATCCCCACATATCCCTGCTGAAGTTCAAGTTCCATCGGCTACAGAAGTGTGTAATGATATCTGTGAACAGGTTGATTAGAAAGATATGCATATTCCACAGCCCAGGCTCCAGTGCTGTCTAGGGAAGAGAATTCTAAAGAATTACGGTTCTCTGAAAGAATAAATTCATCCCAATTTCCCTCATAAGAGAAAC